TAAATTATCCGTACGTTTCCATGAGTAAATCTTACTTTTTACAAGCTGCATCTGCTCCTTACGGTGTTTGCCCTATGGAGCGTTGTACCTTTTTTTTGGCTAAATTTCAATATCCAGCATAAATTTTCGCAAGTTATTAAATTTATACGCCATTAAGTTTATATGCAGAGCTAAAAATAAACACAGTGCGAAAATAAAAGGTGAATTTTATCGCCACGGATTGGAGGTCAAGAAACGTAAAGCTGTAATATTGGCAGTAAAGATGTCTCCTCCAAACTGACAGCTCCCAAACCTCAGTTCATAAACCTGTCTGGAGATTATGTGAGTGGCTGAGACACACGGTCTAACTACTTGGCCCGCGCTCCGATGGAAACAATTTCTGCATGACTGTATTCTCTCTGTTGATGGTGCATTTGAGAGACCGAATGCACAAGTCTAGGTGTGGTTTATACGTGTCCGTGAAGCACCAATCAGACTCAGATTATTTGGTTTCACCTTGGCACTTGTTTGCTTTCCCATGACATGCCCTGAGAATTCCCTCAATATGCAAAGTGAATGCATGACTGTATTCGAAGCATAATAAACTCCTTAAATTTAACTAAAAAACCCCAATCCTGCATCCAAGATTCCAACAAAGCTGCGTCAGAGTCACCATAGTGCTGCAATTTGGATAAACGGCGAAGATGAAAGCGGAATTGCGTTTTTACATGCCTTCGAGACTGCTTGCACATTTTTCTGAAAGCACCGATGTCTGGGTGTGTAATTACACACTAAATGCCGCTTTTTTAAAAGGAAGTGTGTGTCGCTGCACAAACATGAAACCCCGACTGAAAACGGGCACAGTGAGAAAGGCACGCCCCGGAGTGCAGACGCCACTGATGACAACAGAGCTATTAGACTAATCGATGGTCTGATCAGCAGCTGAACGTCATGCTGGAGGCGTAATGTCTCTACAAGCCTTTTCAGCTAACTGTGGAAATCATTTCAGGAGTCTTACAGAGGAGTAAGGCTGTGTTTAAGGCTCAAGAAGCAATCCAGTTTTTACTTGTTATAGATTACTCCACCACTTTGAGAGGGAAAGGCACTTTTTATTTACGAATTTATCAGAATCTAACTTGAATTTGATCATTCTGAGTAATAAGAGTTGGCAGCTAAAACCCAAAGAACTGCAGTGATATCCTGATTCTGTTTTGACACAGTGCAAATCACTTTTGATTTGTCAACTGAGGTGTGTTGGAGATTTTTACGATGAGATGTGCCGTTCAAAAGTGCAGAGTTATTATTTCTATCACTGTAGCAGCAGGGTGACACTCTGACAACATCACTATGGAGTACAATTAACACCCAATTAGAAAACTATTGAGTTAATGTCGGACCAAAATCATATTAAGATTGACAGTCTGACTTCAAAAATTTTTTATTGGAGTCTTTCAGAACAGGGGGAATTTTAGTACTTTCTGTCTTGCGATATTGCGGCATTTATTTTTTCGTATCACGGTCGGATTTTTTAAAGTTTTGCATACTGTGTGTCCACTTCTGACCAATCACAATTCGCGTTGTTGCGATGTCAGATTCACCGGTATATCTAACATGACCGATTGGCTGATTGTTTACGAGTCAGAGGACAGAGTGCTGTTTGATAAAAAAACACAAATATTACAAAGATAACGACCTGAAGGACAACTTGTGGAGAGTCATAGTGTCGGATTTCTCATATGACGATGGTTTGTGTGCTTTAACAGTTTGCTAAACGTCTTTGTTTTAACTTTCATCTGTGCTAAGTAACTTAAGCTCGTAAGCTAACCTGTTCAGATACAACATACCATATGTATTTTCACTGTCTCAAACTCAATCGTGTTGCTGTAACAGTGGCATTAGGTCTCGGTTGTTACCTTACGTTTATGGATTATAGTTTAATGTGTTTATCTGGTACTGGCCCCGACTCAGTACATGCTATCATGACAGACAGACATCTCAACACTAGAGTCTAATCAGAACTGAAAAACAGTCAGTCTGCTGTTGTGTCAGTCTTCTCACTTCCACCCGGGACGCGTTGTATATTTGCGTCACTCCCGGTGTGTAAGGATCTTAATTCTTGTTTATCAAACTACTTTCAACCACTGAGTGTTGAAACTCTTCTCGCTATTACTCAGTATTTCACCAAAATCAAGAATGGTAAAAAAAAAAAACTGTTTTGTGAGAAAGAAACTTCTCTGCTTTCACATTAATCATGTCTGACCCCTCGGATGAATGCAATGACCCATTTAAGAGGTCTAGACCAACAGGTTGGGAACATCTATTCATGAGGTTTCACTTTGATAAACACAAAAAATGCTCAACTTGAAACTCTCAGGATTTAATTTTCATCTTTGTTATGCTTCATTATTCCTCCAATATGTGCGCCTGATAAGACGGCGTATGAAGCTATTCTCCTTCTGTGAGGGAATGCTGGGTGTCATCTGTGACAAGCATCTCTGCAGTGTCGCAGAGACAGAGAAAAGACACGGGGTGTGATTTGTTAAATGCGAGACACCCCTCTGTATTGTTTCGACAACATGGGGGACATCTGGCAGCAGCAATACAGCCCAGTGTCGAGGTCTCCATCCTCTTTCTCGAGCAGTGAGCTGTGCAGCATTGAAGCACTGCCTGCACATTCTCATGCTAATAACCCAAAAGCCTGGAGCAGATGTGAAACATTTGGTTCTGTTCTTGTTCACTTGTAAAGAAGTAATGTGCCCCCTTATCGTTATTTCACTGTTTTGTTCTTCTGCATGTCATAAAGTAAGAGTTCAGGGTGGAGGCCGTCGTCTTTGGTGGCCTGAATTCAGCTGCATGTGTTCGCTGAAATGGTGGCCCGGGTGCTTCAAAGATCTCAAGAATTACTTTGGTATCTCTAAACCTGCTGCTTTAATGAAGAGCTTGGGAAAAATGCAATTAAAAACTTGTATTATCAAACTCCACATGTTAGCATGTTTGCAGCTTTTCTTCTTTTAGCCTGAGAGCAGAAGAAGAATAAATAATTTGAACCCCAGGGGAGTTCAATTTCTGTTCAGGCTTGGAAGCATCTGGAGGGAATTATCAATTATTTCAGTTCCACGTCATCAGTGCCACCTCGCCATCGTCAACAACTTTAACCGAAGTAGATGGGACAACAGGGGATTAGACGGAAAGTTTCCTAGAGTACCCTTCAGTTCAAGTCTGTATTGTGGACATGAAATAGGGTTGTGTAAGCACTGCACTGTGAGTGGACTTGTCCTTTAGAGGGTTATTTTTAATACTACACTGGTTAGTTTGATAGTATATGTATTTTTCTATGGTTTCAGTTTGGTTTCTGTAAAATAATCTTAAAGCCTGTACTTTTTATTCAACTTAAGTAAAAAAAAAAAATATAGATATATAAAAAAATAGAATTACTTAATGATTTTACTGTGACTTTATTCTCGTTAGTAATGACTTTGACCTCCAAGTTTTGATTTTTAATTTTAATTTTTTTGTGTGTGTGTGGCCCTAATACTCCGTCATATTCATGACAGTCATTCTACTTGTACTTCTACTGATACTTGTGGTAGAAAAGAAGTCCGTCTACTTTTGCCACTTCTCCTTTTTTCCCCCACACAGATTGGTTCGATTTGACTTTTAATATGTTACAGCATCCACTAACTTTGTTATAAATAGGCTAAAAAATATGTAGTCCGGTCAAAAGATTTTGCTGAAAAACTATTTTAACTTTAGTTCAATCTTGTAAACAACAAAACATTTATTTAATTGATTTTACGATATGTCTCATTTGAAATGGCTCCTTTAGTACTATTTATAGGGGAGAGTGGGGTAAGATGAGCCATTTTTCATATTACTATCACTACATCAAGGTAATCATAGTTTTGTCTCTAACTAGTGTATCTGCATATATTTCAAGATGTTGTGCTGAACGAGTGTAAACATAACTGTCTTGATTATATAGCATGCCAAAAAAGTGGTCTCCTATGGTCAACTTACCCCGTGTATGGGGTAAGTTGAGACGTATTTTTATTTAGTATACACTATTCAACTGGTACAATAATTCTGTTTATTATTATTGCATATAACTGCTAAAAAAGCTGTTTTGTAAAAAGCCATTTTGAAATTGAGAATGACTTTAAGTGATTTAGAACATTCACAGCTGTATTTTTGAACAGAAAAAGTAAAACATTTCAACAATCTGAACTGAAACTCTGGCTCAACTTACCCCTGAACTACTATTCTGAGTTTATTAGTCCTCTGAGCTAAAATGGTGGACTTTTATGCTAGGTTTTTGACCTCATGTTGTAGCTCATAGATACCACAATCGATGTATAAAACAAATGTAAAATGATCTTTTTTGGTCTGAACACAATTATAATAAAACTTACAACAGACTAAATTGACTTTCAAGAGTGAAAATGTTTTTTTTTTTTTTCACCCATGTGCTTCTAACCTTCACAAACTCCATGAAATATCTGGTCACATGGTCAATTTGGGGTGGCTCAACTTACCCCAGTCTCCCCTACTTTAAACTTTGTTTTATACAACATTAACAGCCCTAATTCAGCTAGGATGTTCTTCGTTAGTGTCCCGCCCATCTTTGATCTCATTGGCTCCTGTCTTCCTCTGTCATGATCCTATTGGTCGAGAAGGTGCCTGTCAAGAGACCTGACGTGCGAGACAAGTTTACAACTCTATACACGTGCGGCTGGTACATCAGGGCTCGCGGTGGCATCCTACACTGAACAAGGACGGAGGAGACTTTCTCACCTGAGGCAAACAGCGGTGTCAGGAGGAGCCGTGGACTTTTGTTTTTGTCTATTTCCACTCTCACCTGTAATATCCTGCACTTTTTTTCGGAGGAGACAGACAGGTGTTCCTATCCACAGCAGCACTCTGTGGATCAAGACTCAGTTTTCGGGGTTTCTTCATGGCAAAAGGACTCGGTAATGTGTGCCTAACATGGCTGTGGCTCCTGCACCGACCACCCAGGGACCGGTATGGCTTTTAGCCGCGTCAGTAAACTGGACCCCCCGTCCCGTTTCATCATCTCCAGGAGAGCGGCGGTCATGCTGTGCTCCCTCCTCACCTCCCTCTTCCTCCTGCACTGCCTCACGGACCGCTGCGGCACCTCCTCACCGGTGAAAGCGTCCTCCAGCCGGCACTTCGAGGAGTTGCGGTCGGTTAGGAGTAAGAGACTGGTGTATGAATGGACAACCGGGTCGGAGCTGACGGGGTACGGGGCTTCCAGGCGCTCCTCGAGGGTCCTAACGGATGAGCGCGCGGGGCAGACGTTGGAGTCTTTCATGTTGCCGCCTCCGGATTTAACCGTCGCCCGGAGAGTGTCGCCCAGGTTCGCCGGTAAACTCAGCCCGCTCGGGGAGGGGAGCAAGAAGCTGCCCCAGGCTCTCATCATCGGGGTGAAGAAAGGGGGGACCCGGGCTCTGCTGGAGTTTCTCCGGGTTCATCCAGACATCCGAGCCGTTGGAGCTGAGCCGCACTTCTTCGACAGGAACTATGACAACGGACTGGAGTGGTACAGGTAAAAACTAATCGATAAATTAGTTTATAGGGGATATAAGTTGAGCCACCCCCTGTTGTTTGGAAATAGTAAAAGAAATTAATTATGTGACCAAATATTTAGGAGATGAGGAACAATTCATGGAGTCTGAAGGTTAGAAGCACATAAAGAAATAAAAAAATCGATTCATAAAATCGCGATACTTACGTAAAGTATCGCGATTTTATGTTCCGAAATCGATATTTTTTTCAAATTTAAGAATAAATCTTAAAAACTGACTTGCATGTGTATTTAGAGGGAATATACAGTTCCTGGAATAGTCAGTAGACAATCATAATCATTCAACTGTTTCACTGGTGTTAAAAATGCAGACTAAATGTTGAGAAAATTGACAATATCGTAGAATCGCAATTTAAATCGAATCAGCAGGCAAAAAATTGTCGAAGAATTGAATCGGTTTTATTAGAATTGTGTTCAGACCAAAAAAGATCATTTTACATTTGTTTTATCAATTGTGGTATCTATGAGCTACAACATAAAAGTCCACCATTTTAGATGAGAGGACTAAAAAGTCGTGACAATAGTTCTGGGGTAAGTTGAGCCAGAGTTTCAGTTCAGATTGTTGAAATGTGTTACTTTTTCTTTTCAAAAATACAGCTGTGAATGTTCTGAATCACTTAGAGGCATTCTCATGCTAAAATTACTTTTTACAAAACAGCTTTTTACAGTTATATGCAATAATAAAAAGGAGTATTGTACCAGTCGAATTGTGTATAATACACATGAATGTGAAGAAGTGACTGTTATTTAGGGAGAGAGAAGGTGAGGGAGGGCTGGGGTGGAGAGTGGGGGGTAGTAGGGATACAACAGTTATGTTTACACTCATTCTGCTGGTTTGCAGGGATGAACAACATCTTGAAATACATGCAGATACACAAGTTAGAGACAAAACTATGATTGCCTTGATGTAGTGATCCGAAATATGAAAATGGCTCATCTTACCCAACTCTCCCCTATAGAACTACAACACCTATTTTTGACCGACATAAATCCTGAGTTTTATTTACTCTACAAGACTCAGATAAAAAACCATTAAACCAACTTACAACTCAATTTATGTCCATCTTGAACGTCTGAGTGTTATCACCAGCCGTTAAATTGCCACCATGATAGATTTTGTTTATCCAACTTTTTTTTTTTTTTATCACGCTTGTAACATCGCTAATAGTGTACATAACCCAGAAATCTTTACTTAACATCTCAGCTTTTACAGAAGCAGTCTAATTGCAGTTGGATGGAGAAGCACAGTGGACAGCCTGTTGATTTATTACGCTACATTAAGCCTGACTTCATTAGATCTTATCGGGCTGCTCATTTTGTTGCACATTTCAGGCCTGACTGCACTTAAGTTGCTTTGGTTAAGGCCATAATAGGATAAATTTACAGCGGTTTATGGCGTGATTTTCTCATTGATATGACAGGGATATACCTAAACATTTATAAAACTCAGTTTCATTTAGTTCAAGTAATATGTTACAAGTCTTTGTGCTGTATAAGTAAGTGGAAAATAAACAGACGCTTACATTTTTTCTTTTAATTAGATTTGTCACATTTATTCTATCAAAATGAGCCTCTAAACACACTTGAAGTAACAAAATAACTTCACATGTATGTTTTTCCACTTACAACTGCACTGCTAGAGGTGGAAAGCCTTGCACAAGCTTAAAAATCTTAGATCCGAATAATAAATCATGGTTTCGTGTTTTTAAAAAGTTGAAATGTTTCTAAAAGATAAAAATTAACTGCAGAAAATAGAAACAAAAAGGATATGTTGGCACTGTATTACTATATTATGAGAAAACTGCCCTCTAAAGATATTTTTGTGCATCAAACTTTTGATTTTGCTTTAAAAATCTAATTTTATTGGCAACTTGCAGGCTGAAAATTATGAGATGAGTCGTGTTTTTCTCATGCAGTACTTTTAAATCGTATAATGAGTCTTCCTGAATGAGTCTGGGTAATTCCCATGAAATAAAAACCCCCTTTTATAAAAGACTCATTGACTCTCCTTTCATATCTCCCTAACTCTTTGTGGAGGAGGTTTATGCTGCATTTTCTTTGCTGAATTTTGTGATTGATATCATCTGTCACAGCAAGTGTGTGAGTGAGTGTTGTGTGTGTTCACATTTCCACCGGCCTGTGGGGAATAATGGCTCTCCCTCTCAGTGGTTCTCTGTCTAATGGGGCATTGCCGACATCGCAGCTCTGTTATTAAGAAGGATTAGGGCCATAATGAAAGGTTACCTGAGTGTCTCTGGAGGTATAATTCACCTTTTGATTGAGTTAACACTACACACAGTCCCCTCTAAAAGCCCGGAGACAAAACTTTTACTCTCCCCTCTCCGACGACTCCCTCTCCATGCCCTCCTCACTCTCCCCTCTCTCCTCTTCCCCCCACAAACACTCTGGCTCTCTCCCATCTCCCACTCACACACCTCCCTCTTTGTGCCTCTCTGAGAGTGAACACTCTCTTTTCCCCATCACTCTTTCACACCCTTCTGTTTACCTATTCATCCATTGTAGGGTTTTATATCCATGAGGGTCCCATCCATCCCGAGGAGTTGCCAAGATTCTCTGGAATTTGGACCGTGCCTCCAAGGACAGACCTTTAGTGCCGGTTCCCCTTAATGCCGTCCATTTAAAGAACACAAGAACCCTTGAAATGAAAAGAGGAATAAATAACTGTTACAACAGCGTGGCCCACTTTGTAGGAGTTCATCTTGTTCGCTCTCCTCGACAACGTCTGAGAGTTTTCTCGTTGACGGTATTCTGTGGAAGCGTTTGATTGAGTTGAAGTTGTTGGCGTTTGGCCATGTAGAGGTGTTGTTGTGCACTTCGGCAGCGCTTGTTGAAACATGGAAATCACCATCGTGGTGTTATTTAGGGTTGAATCCTCGTCATTTCTGTTGTCTCGCTGGAGAAGTTACAGTATGTGCGAGGAATTTTAAGGGATCACATTTAGTGAACTACAAAGTCTTTTGCATGCTTAAAATGGATTTTTGTAGGTTAAATAGTAAAAAAAGATTATTTGTTCACATTTTCATAACACAAGACCCAAGCTAATGAAAACTTGAAACACCCTGAGACTTAAAAAAGCTCAACCTAGACCAATTTGTGACTGAAACGAAATGATATCCTTTTAACATGGATATGGAAAGAACATGCTGTGATGATCTCAAAGGAGACAAGTCATTAAAAGTTAATGTGTAAAAAAGCAGCTTCACATGTGCCCAGAATAAAAGCAGTGTCCTGTCAAGCCCAAAGAACACAGATTAAGCAGCATTGAGTTGACATGTGTATGAAACAACTGGATCAAACTCAATCATTAAGAAACAAGGTGCCGGTTTGGCCTGGTGGTTAAACCTGTGTGTCCCTGTCTACAGAGTCCTCAAAGTGGGCAGCCCAGTTTTGGTTCCAGCCTGTGACTCTTTGTCCATGTCATTCCCAAACCTCTCCTAGTTTCCTTCTCTGCGCACAGTCCCACCTTCTCCCTCTGAATCAAAGCATAAAAGCCTTAAAATTAAACTTTAGATAATAATAGTTAGAAAAAATAATCTATTGGTGCTTTCAGAAGATAAAGCAAGGCTGTGAAACTAATGAAGTTAAAGTAAAGGAGCAGATTCCCAATTAATCTGTAGATGTTGCAAAGATATCCTGTATATGGTCAAAATATTAATATCACTGCGAAATAAAGGATTATTATAAAGTTTGCAGAAAGCAAGGTTAGGTTTCAATGCTTAGGTGTTACAGTTTAAGAAGAAAACTCACCAAACCACAAGAAAAAAGAGCTTCAAACATGTCCAAAACAAGCTGAAAACAAAAATAAAAGGGAAAAAAAGGGAAAAATAGCTAATCTCTGTAGAAAGCAAGGCAAGGGAAGAAAACTAGTTTATTAAATGTGTGAAACAAACTCCTAAATACTAAGAGGAGACCCCATACTTATCTTTTACGCTCTAATTGCTTAATAATACTATCTTTACATTAAAAGAAATTAAGATATTCTTGAAATTCGAGGGCAAGTTCAGACTCCAAAGCCAAACAATTTAAGTTTAGGCAAAAACTCTGAAATACTAAATGAATGAAAACAGGTTCATGTGCTCAGAACATGCTTGAATCCAAGTTTAACGCTTTTCGTAAAAGTAATAGTTGAGCAACAGTTTACGGTATACTTATAAATATACTCTAAAAACAAAACAAATCAAACTGCAAAAGAATATTAAACATCACATACATGCCTTCAACTCAGACAAATAATACACTTTCAAACCAGAAAGAGAAAAAATCAAATCAAACTGTTTACATTTGTAGGTCTAGATTTTCTGTGACTAATCACTGTGTCTAATTAGCCTAAATTATGGGATTGCTTTCGTTAGCAACAGTAAAAACTCAAAAATGTAGATTCTTCCATCTCAGGAGACTCTTTGTTTATTGTCAAGGCCGATACGTGTCCTCAGCATGAATCACTCGTCTCCGTCCCTATGGGAACGCGTGGAACAAACTTTTAACACCTCTAAGCTCTTAATGTGACGTGGCAGCATCTCCTGTCTCCCCGTTTTTTTTCCCAGCTTTACTCAGAATTATACTTGTCTGCCTTGTTATGGGAATTTCCATCAAACCTGCCCCCTGAAGTCGCACACCACCCGAAGCTATGATGCAAAAATCTGTAATTTATTGAGAAGGATAAAAGTTGCTGCGTTGACAGCTCGCCTGTCACAGCATGAAACATCGGTAGCTTTCAACTTTTAGCTCCACTTTTATGTGTCCAAGACTCAAAATAGTTTGGTACAAGTCTGTCAAAACATATGCTTTTATTCAAATCCTGGTGACAACTTCATATCTTTAGTTTTTTTCAGATTTGGCGCGTTTTCTAAGCTGTCTGAGTTCTTGTCTTTTACATACACTTTTGTCCCCCAGACTTGAGGACCTTTTGTCAAACAGGAACCCAACACCCCGACCCAATCGCCCGCTCGCTCAGTGTTACATTTCACGACACATTTCTCAGCAGTGTAGCCGCACAATCGCATACAACCTATTAGGCTTTTGTTGTGGAAATGGACACTCAGAGTGAACAAGGAGGTCAAGCACAAACACAGCGAACTAAAGCAGAGGTCTTTGCTACAAAGCAGTCAGTATTATGTTTTTGGTCGACTTGGGTTACCGAACGCCCGGCTTTCACCTGTCTAGACCACGCTGCGGTTCCTGTTTGAAGTCTGCAGACCGGTTGGATTAGCCTTCACCAGATCTCTGAATGGGTTAATTATCCTTCACAAAAACATGTCTGACCTGTTAAATACGAGGGCAACGCGCCACCAGCACTGCCGCCTGTGTGTTTGTGTAGATAAAGACAAATGTGCAAAGAAATACACTAATTTGTCCCTCGTAAAACTAACAAATAACGGGTTTTCAAAGTCTGTTTGAAGCAGATCACCACTTTGATCATTTATCGATAAATCTTTCGTGCAAACTTGATAAAATAGAAGTCCAGATCCTTCTTTTGATGTTTTCCACTAGTGTGCAAAACTTAAAACCACGAGAAAGCGAATGAAAAGAGTACGCTCTGTTGGAAGAAAAACCTGAAAAATCACATTAAATTAGCGGGTTCCCTCTTCATAAAACTGGCTGTGTTTAAAAGGAGGTTCTGTTGTGGCAGTAAAATAAAAAAGGAGTTCTTAATCATAAAAGCAGTGGCCCAGCAGGGATTTGTGTAAGAGAGCAGTCAGGCTGATCTGATCTGTGTTTCAGTGAGGAGGGGTGAAGGTAAGGAAAAGCAAAGCAACAGTTTCCTTTCTGTTTTTTTAATACAAGTCAAGGTCTGGATGTAGATATCGATAAAGAAGCGTGTTTTATCAATCAATGATAAGTTTTTTGCTTTCATCAGGCTACCAATTTTGGCTTCGTAACACGACAAGTCAAGTGAAGGGGGGAAAAATTGCCCCAGTCACATTGTCGTCTCGATGTTGAAAAGCTGTTGAATTCACAAGGTTTGAAACGAAGCCCAGTTTTTTGAAGTTTGTGATTTTTTGGCCGATGTCAGTGAAGTGGGTGGCAGAGTTTCACACTCTGGCCGTGTTTGCTGCTGTTTTGACGTTTTGCTTGTCATTGAAAAGCGTGGAGAGCTCTGGAGGAGCAGTGGAAAGCATGACATAACTCCAAAAAGGGAGAGGCTGCGTGTTAACAGTGAACACAAAAAAATACTGATTCAATTGTATATCTTATTGGACAGTAGATGTGTTTTTGCATCCCACTGAAACATTAAGCTGTTGATACTTAAGTCAGTGGAAAAATTAGACATTTGAAACATGGATGCGTACATTGTTTATTGTGTGGTTGCACTGCGTTGTCATGGCGAAACCACATGCCAGCTCGAGGCCAGATTTAACATTGACCCTTGCGTATATGGGTGTGTGTGCTATGCGTTCACATTTATGTGAACATGCAAACTGTAAGCACCTCCAGAGTACTTTTGGAACTTGCTGCAGCTCTTGGATGTTATTCAACCTTGACTGAAGGAATGACGTGTGGTTTGGAGCTGTGAATTTACAGCAATCGGTATGAAGATGTTACAGTAAAAATGCTTTTTCAGGGCTCGACACAAATTTTTTTCACAAGGGGAACATGTGCTCCTCAGTTGAAAAAGTAAGGAGCACACAAAGAACTTTAGGAGCACAATGAAATTTGATCAAATAATGTTTGTCTTATTGGTCGACATAAGTCCTATTATTTGGAATCAATTTTAGGTCTTTTGGTCACATTTTGGACATGGAAGCTATTGACTGAAAACAGTCTTTTTTGAGGAAATCAACTTGTAATTTATTGATGGTCCCTTATTCAACACCTGATGTTGACAGCGAGGGTGCAGTGTAGATTTAACCCCACTGCTGTTGCTGTTCCCGGTTATGGAGAGTAAGAAGACAACGGTAAGGTCCTTACACACTGGGAACAAGCAAATATACGCAAAATTACAAAATATTCAGAGGCGAATTTTGACACGCCTGACTATACACATCAAGAGTAATGCAATTTCGCGACCTACCAGGGGGAAATAAAGACGCGTCCCAGGTGGAAACGTAAGGTAACAACCGAGACCTAATGGTGCTGTGACAGCAATGCAGTTGAGTTTGAGAGTGAAAATACATATGGTATGTTGTATCTAAACAGGTTAGCTTATGAGCTAAAGTTACGTAGCACAGATGAAAGTTAAAACAAAGATGTTTAGCAAACTGTTAAAGCACACAAACCATCGTAATGAAAAAACCTTTGTTGCCTAGGCCGATTTTTTTTATGCACACATGTGCCTCTAAATACATTTTGAATTCGCACACGTCTATATTTCGTTACAAATGCGAGTGAAACTGTCGCACTGATGAGCACTGTTTTTTGAAAGATTGATTTAATTTAATTGTTATGGAAATCTGCGGAGAAAGACGACAAATAATGTACACCATATCTGTTTGGACTGTGAAACATTTTCTGGCCAAAAAAAGACCCATCATGCATCATGTTTTTTCTCTTTTTTTGGCTTTACCACTCTGTTGATAAACTAAATTATAATATCAGTTACTTTTACTGTTTTTTACTGTTTTTCAGAGTAGTTAGAGAAGGTTTTGACCACCCACCCAGTCTGCACCAGAGCGTATAATATTGCTGAGAAACACGCTCTGAATTTATATATCATCCAAACATTCGGCATACATAATTTTCCCCCTCCTGTTATGTTTGTGTGTGTGTGTGTGTGTGTGTGTGTGTGTGTGTGTTAGCCCTGAAAAATGTACCTCCCCAGTCCCTTTATTGAGACTCTGAAAGGAGCCATTTGTTTCAGCATTTCCCCGAAGCACGGACAAGATTTTTTAAACAGATTTTCTTCTAATTGTTCCCCTGGTTGTTTCCCCGCGTGTTGACACTACACTGGAAAACGAGGCTGAAATGAAATATTTTTTAATCCACATAAAAATAGCCAAGGACGCTAATTTTCTCATGAAGCCGACATTACTCTGAAAGTCAGAGTTTTGTTCGTACGGGGAACAGCTCCTAACGCAGAGATGAGATTTCCGGCGTGTAAAACCTGAAGGTCTACTTTAAAGTGCTTTTCAAAATGAAACTTCTCTGTCTGGAGAGCGAATGAACTCATTAAATACCTACTTATCCCAAAAAAATGTCCCGTTTCTCACAAAGGAAGAGTAACATATCCGAATAAAAAGGAACCCAAATGCTTGTTTTTTAGCACATAATGACAAAGAGCACTTGAACACCGGCTTTTTACTTAATGGAGTATTTAGTGGGTCTGTTTTTTCCTGCTCAACTACATCCGCACACTGAGGAAACAGACTCGCAGATGGCAGGTGTAGCTGAGAGGACCGGTCGAGGTGGGTGCAAGGGGTCACGTTTGGGGTTTCAGAGAGCACACACACACACACTCCGGACGTAACGTGATCACCACGCCGAGCATGAGCCCAGAGGCTGCCTTTGGATTGTGAAAGTGATTATCGGGGAGTATAATTGTAAAACCAGGACCCTCACCTCCTGCTGTAGGCATGCAACCCACCCATGACTGTAGTCCGCCAACTCCTTGACCTTTGCCACCCCCACAGACATCTTTGCATGCCCTCAGCAGCTGACCCTTGGAGGCCCCATGCAAGGGAGGCAGATAGAAGCGAAAGGGGACGATCCAAAGTAGTGCCTGTCAGCAGCTGCCCTCTGGCATCCTGGGAATCTGCCCCCCGATGGGTGAGTGAGGACAGGCAGCAGGTGCGGGGGCGCTTTGCAGACACCACCTGGATCTCCACCAGGCGCTCACACCTGATGTATTCACCTGACACACCTAAAATAAGAGCTGTTTGTTGACTGCTTGAAACGGGGCAACGGAGAAGACGCTAAAAGGTTCGCTTCATTCAAATATTTCAGGCCTTAGGGAGCAGGAACCCGGGAGCTTTGATGAGCATGTGCAGAAAGGGGGGATTGATTGATCACAGTCAGGAGGGTCACCCACAAGGCTGCCAGAGATTCTGCCACCCTCAGAGTTCACAATACCAGCAGATGGTACTGTAACTTTAAGATCAGGTTACATTGTTTCTAGGATTCAGTTGTTTGTTCACTTTCGGGTTTTTTGTGTACACTAGTCAGAAACCTGTTTGACCCCCTTTGAATACAAGACGCATTGAGCTCGGCAGCTGTTGGTCTTTTTATGAGGTATTAGCCCGTACATTATAAGCACTTATTCTGAGATTCATATTTCAAAAGGGGAGCCTGCTGAGGTTGCTTTTTGAATGTCTTTGACTGTATGAAAATACCAGAGATATTCTGATAAGGATACCAGGATTGATATCATGTATCAGGATTCTTATCGCTGATCAAATAACGCTGAAATCTAAAGGCTGGTTTCACTGAAGACAAATTCTTTGCTGCCCTGAGATAATACTCAGCATAAAAAAGGCTGTGGCAGACTGCCAGTGCTGATGTGTGATGTCTACCAAGTGCAAAAACTTTTCAAGAATTTACTTTCAGACAGTCATGACTCACAACCACAGCGCCAGGTTTTCCCAGCAATTCAATCAAAGTCGTCTTGACTTGGAGTGATGTGGCCGTTAATTACGCCCCTGCTGCAACCATCAACAGTCCTGCTAAAAAGTAATGTGATTTGGTAATAGCTAAATAGAGCTATTTCAAGTAAAAATTCCGTTTTTTATGATGTGTGTCAGGAGGGGGCTGTGAGCTGAACTACCATTATTTGTTGATTTGGGGTTGGTCAACCATTTATAAGGCTGATTTTTAGGCATAGGTCTGTGTAAAACAACATGTAAAGCATAAGGTAGGCCTGCACGATTTTGGCCAAAAATCTCAAAATCTGAAAACTCAATTTTTGATTTCTATTTTTTATTCAGTGACAACTTCACCAAACTCCACTTTAATAAAAAGTTTTTCCTATTATCTCTCGAAACAAAACCACTGAAAAAGTTGTATTGCATATGCCAAGCCAGTAAGTATCGCTGTAATGTTGCCGAGGAAATGCACAGAGGACAGAAGAAGAGTACGGAGCATGCGTATACAGGCGTGACCGATCTGTCAAACTGACGGAAAGGTCACGCCTTCGGAAACATCAGCTGTTTTAAGACACGTCACACAACCATCACATGACACTCTGAGGAAGACTACTGTCAGCACGTCGAAACATGTCAGCAAGGTATATAAAAAAACCTGTGTCTGCATAAAAGAACATCTGACAGTAATTTATCAAAAAAGACACAATGAACCTAATCCAAGAGTTACTCTGCGTGTCACATAATCGTTTCAAGAGATGCAGATAGGCATCCACACGAAGATGAAATGGTAGTCTTTTACAGATTTATGCACTCTCCATTTCCGTGAGGATGAAACGCCGCTACGACAAAAAACTTTTGCGTTTACTTGTGAAATCATTTCTGTGTGGAGGGTTGATACTGCCTTCAAACAGACTTTGCAGCGGGAAGCGGTTTGATCTTCGTCCGAAACTGCGAAGCCGTACCAATTCCACATGACTGAATTGCTCTTGCCTTATTTAGCCACAAAATTATCACCTTTGTTTGCAAACGCCATGTTTGTTTACACTGGGAGCTGGGTATTGCGCAAGACATGATAGAGAGGAAAACTGATTTAACAATTTTAATTTTCTTTAACATCGTGGTAATCAAGTAATCGATTAATCATGCAGCCCTAGCATAAGGTACAGTTTGTTTAAAGCTGTCTCTCTGATAGAATGGCTGTCAAAGTAAAAAATAAAGGAGTGTTATCTGGCTTTAAAGTAAGCCAAGCCAAACAACAGTAGTGCACAGAGAACTATTTTCTTCCTTTAAGATTGTACAGGATCAGGTTTCAGTGTTTGCCAATTTACAAATTGCGATGTAAGAAGTGTAACCTTAGAAATGGTTAAAAAAATGAACATATGAACAAAAGCACTGCTTTATAGAGCCTCGATGCCCTATAAACGTTTCTATCATGTTAACCTTCTCCGAGTCGGGAGGTGTGACCTTTTAAAGACATATAGGGCTCGGTTTGCTTGATGTTCCATTTTCAGGTGAAGTACCTGAAGCCCTTTACCAGTTTAGTGGTTTTCAAGCAGCGCCCATGAATGTCAGTGATGTTTATTTTCACTGAACTGCGTGGAAACCTGCCAGGTAATGTTTTCTAACATCACAGAAGTCCTGCCTTCGGGGGCTTTACCAGCACTATGACTGAAATGAAAAAACGCAAGAATCATGTTCACAATTTTCTTCCAATGCTGCATTTCTGTCCTCCTATATCCTACTTTTTTTTCTTTTTGGCAGCCAAAGGTTGATGGAAGTTAAATGTTATCCTTCCACAAACAAAGAGAGACTGTAACTCTATCATTTGGCACTGGGGAGTCAAGGGGGTTATTCTACACTTTGCAAGCTCACTTTCGTATAAGTGAGCTAAACAAACCACAAGAAATAAGCTGTAGAATTCATGCATATCAACATTTTCAGAGGATTTGCCAGGGTGCTTTAGGATTTACGAAAGATGCAGCCAAACCCCGGTTATTTGGGCACAGAAGGGTCTGGTAAGTGATGTATGGATGGAGCATGTATGCATTACAGCCCTCAGTGGTGCGGATTGGCAGGATAAACCAACGCCTCAGCTTGATGGATCTCTCTTTCCCATCTCACGGGCAACAGCTTTATCACAGGACAGGGAGCGCTCCATATTTTCCAGAAGAGAGAAAAAGACGGAGACAAACAGACAGAAAGAAAGCGGGGAGAAGTCGAGGTACAGAAAGCCTGGGAACCAATAAAAAAGGAAGCCGTCTCCTCCTGGGTCCTCCGTTTTCCGTTCCAGCCGCTGTGTTTTCTTTCAAACACTTACGCCACGTTCTCATTTTCTTTCTGTCCTGTGTTTCATTTCCACGTATTTAATAAAAAAGGGTAAGTGTTAACAACTCTGGGAAGTCTGAGGTTCGTCTCTCCTGCCATTTTCGAGGGTCGTTCTAAGGCTTCCAGGCCAAACACAGGATCGTCTCTGACTCTGCTTCTCCGCTCGAAGGCATGGACTCTGACGCTCTTGCCATGTGTGCTATCTGCAGCTGCCTGTGTGGCGATACGATGGCACCGAACATCCTTTTTGTCTTGCTCCATCGGGGCTTGGCCTGTGCCAGTCGCCTTGGCAGAGCCCAAATTACAGACATGAGCGGAGGCAATGCCAGACGGCACCTCAGGCACAACCTCTTTTTGACTGCCCAACCTCTGTCTCTGTGCAGAACACTGAATTAAACTGCAGCTAAGCATGAGGTGCAAGTGTGTGTGTGTATGTGTGGCTTTTGGAGTCCATCTAAATTGAAGGATTGGCATTTTTTTGGCACTGGGGACAAAGAGGCCGGCGCATTTTCCCCTCAGATGTTATTTTCCAGCTTTCAGCACTTCTACATCCAGCATATTGTGTGTATTTCTGCTAGATTACGAACAAAGAGTCACACGGTAGTGCTGAGGGAAATAAAACATGCTGAAGATTAGGGTTTGGCAGTGCTTAAGTCCATGACCAGAAATCCTGCACAATTTTATAAAATAGCTAATAATGGAGGTGTTGAACAGTGGGAGAATGACAGAGAGGCATTTAATCTGCACTGAGAGCTGTTTTATTCAAACAGGAGTGCAGCAGATGTATTGAATGTGCACTTTTGAAAAAGCTACCTGTTTCCTCAAGTGGAAGTTCAGCTGTTCAAACAGATGCTTTAATAAAGTCTATTGTAGTTTGTATTTGAAAGGCTGCACGGCACAAAGGGTTCATTCATTCAGAACTCTTATATCTGTATTTCTCTTCAAAAGCGATCCATTAAGATGTATCAAAACAACCTTATTGACAGCAGGTTTATTTCACCATTAAATCAAACGAGACTCCTGTAAATCCTCCCTGCTCTGTTTTTAATTAGCGCTAACATTTTATGAATTCAGAGAAAAGATGGTTGACATCTATTACTAACTACCACCAAATGCCAGGCTGCTTGATTAAAGAGAGGAATGTGTTAGAAAATGAGTTTGCTACCCTGGACTCCTTTATTGATAGATGGAGTGCAACAGCACAGCCTGCGTCTTTTTACATAAAGATGGAAGAGGGTGATAAAGGGTCCATGTAGCGCACAGGCTATGATTGATAAGCCCACAGAGGAGTGCAAGGAAGCCACCCAGTAATTCAATTAATCTTAACCTGAACAGTAGTAATTGCTACTGTAACTCGGTCCGACTGTACATCAGGCGGGAGCGAGATTGCTGTCACAGGAACATGTCCAGTTAATAGAAAGAGGAAGGAACATCCTCAGTGCTCCGGATCGTGCCGTTTTTTTCGTTATTATCCTTTCTCCTAAAGATGAAGATTTGCATGTTAATGAGAAGAGCGGGGAACAGATTTTCTACACGTGTGGACTGGGATGAGAGAAGTCAGGGATAAATCACGGCAGGGGAATTATGGATGCAAAATCTCGGTGCAGCTTTTTAGTGGTTTGTGAAGACATTCTTACAATAAAGTTATGTAATCATCTGCAAAGAAAAAAAATATTTATATGTAGGCAGTCCTACATTTTCATGCATTTATTCATTTACCAAGTATTGATTTTTCAAATTAACTGTTAATATGATGTCAATTCTCTGATAATGGAAAATAAAATCAACTGTTTGTCCAGTGAGGTTGGCAGAGGTGACATCGTAGAGCAGGAGAAAGTTAGTTCAACAAATATATGTAAAAGGTTTGCAAGATGTGCTACATGAAAATAAAATACAGCGTAAATAAGACAAACATAGAGGAAAGCTGAATGCAAAATTAGCTAAACAGTTGAAAAAGTTGTATAAACCGCAATATATTGTATCACAATACTCACTTTATAATAGAACTAGGTCCTAACCTATTTCAGTGGTTGCCAAATGATGGTCTCACATGTTTTATGTGAGTTTAGTGGTATCATAGTCTTTTTTTCTGTATCTATCTGAAGTTTGTTTACTGAAGCATTTGTAAAGGTAGAATTGTGACATTTCGAAGCTACTGATTTCCTAAATTCCCTCTAGCTGACTAGTTTGAAGGTTATAAAACAGGAATAGTCAGTAAAGGCACAACTCATTTAACATGGCGTCTTACAGGGTTCCAGAGTCTGCTGGTAAACTGTCAAATGTGCCCAAGGTTAGCAAAGATAGCACCACCAGCCTTCTGTGCTCCCTGCAGGGTAAAGTCATCATACGCATCGCTCTAATTAATGGTCATGGAAGTAACTCATTATCTGTTATTACTTTCTATTTTGTGAGTAAATCTTTCCTTTTAAATGTCATGATTTGTGCCCAAACGCTGTTAAATATCACACCCTTTCAGTCATGCCTCTCTTCTCCAGAAAACAGGTGTAGTCTTTACTGTCTTTGCTGGTCGGACCAGGTTATTGTTCTTCTGAGCTTTTCCACCAAGCACTTATTAAGGTCTACAACAAAAGATTTGGATTGTTAGAAATCCTTTGAACACACCCGGGTTATTGATCCTATTGTTCGCTGTAAGAGCACAACAGTGGTTTGAAGGTGTTGACCCGAAGAGACAGAAAGACAAGGTTTCTTTATGGGCTGGTTTTACGCGTCCCTTGGAAACTGGACACCTCGAGAATAGCGGATAAATCAAGTTTACAGTAAAATCCATTTTTCTTGCCCTTTGTTTGTCCGAGTCTTTTACCACACCTATTTCTTCCCTTTCTGTCCTCATTTTAACCCCATTTACATATGAAATGGCTCACCAAGCTTCTGATCCAATGCAAATGTTACCATGTTTTATCAATACCTTATGTTTCTATCTAGTTTATAGCATTGGTTTCTATTTTCTCAGCTGGATAGTTCTGGGTCGTCTACGGCCAGTTTGGACTGAGGGCGTGACAACAGTGTCGAGCCTGTGGGACTTGACATGAGCCCAAGTCATTTCAACCGTCAAACATGGCGGGGCCAGGGCTCATTATGTCATTATGCTGTCAGGACGATTGTTTATTCTGACATCTTCTCCCAACAATGTCACATCCTCCCCTTCAGTCATATCTTCAAGCTGGTAATTTACAGACAACCGCCAGCATAGACAGATGAACAAGATATAACATTCAAAGTCTTCTCTGTTCTTTATCCTCTACAGCTCCCACAGCCGCCTCCCTAAACACGCCCCCATCAATTATTAATCCAGCCAATTAGCGGGGCTGCATTATTCACCAGGAAGCTGTGATCACATCCATTAACGGCACCGCCTCGCCTCATTGTGGCTATCCCAGGCGGCACTGGCACAGCCCACAGACCCACTACAGACTTCATACCTGACCACAAATTCCCACTTCTAGCATATTCATGTAGCTATAATATTTTTCTATTTTCTTTTTTACCTTTTCATGACCTAATCCTGTTCTTTTAAAAACAGACTCCTTACTGAATTCTTCAAAATATCTTCAAATGTTCTTGTGACTTGAGACATTGGTTTTACGCTTCTAGCTTTACAGTGGGACCCAAACTGAAAAAGCAGTGGTCCCCCAACAAAATGAAATACAAAACTACAACAGGACCCTTCGTGTGAAGCCATAACTTTTAGAGCTCTGCCTGGTAACTGGCTGCAGTTTCAGAAAAGTACTTTGAGGTGTTTGATTGATAGCTCTGTCGCTGCTGTTGTTTTCTGTACTGGATTAGCATAGAGACGAGGTGTAGTAACTAGGGCTGGGCGATATGGCCTCAAATCAATATCACGATATATTGAGCAGTTCATCTCGATAGCAATAGCCGCTAAAACTTTTGAACCGTCCTCCATCTCCTCGCCTGTCTTTCCCTCTTTTTTATGGACTGGATGTGGTGGAGTTATGTCTCGGACGTAGGACTTTTACCGCAGACGTTTACCTTAATATTTTGCAATCCTGTGTTTTGCCACATTAATATAAATTGTACTCAAATTTTGATTCTTGTCTCACTGTTTCCTTACTTGTAGAGTCGAAATTGTGAGTTGTCGGTACATTACACATACTAGTAGGGCTGGGCGATATGGCCTCAAATCAATGTCACGATATATTGAGCAGTATACCTCGATAACAATAAATGGACGATAATTACTCCACACATTAACTTTGTCTACTTAAGCCGCTACTCCGGCCGCTACAACTTTTGAACCGTCCTCCATCTCCTCACCTGTCTTTCCCTCTTTGTTATGGACTGAATGTGGTGGAGTCATGTCTCTGGCGGACAGCATCTTAAAAAGGACATGAGACGATAGCCTACATACACACATCCAAAAACAACCTTTATGTATTATTTTTTGACACTGAATATATTGAAACGGGCAAAATGACATAGGTTATTGTCGTAAATTTTGGTATCGGTAAATTTTCAGTTTATCGCCCAGCCCTAATAGTAACTAAACTTTGAATAACTATGAACATCCACAACCTGACCAAAACTTTGAAAAAAGACTCAAATTTGATTAAACATGATTTCAAATTTCATTAAGAGGACAAAAATACTTGTCATTAGCTCTACTGAAAACAAGATATTCCTCCTCCCTATCTTTATCTCTGAAGAAGGAAGTAATGTGTTTGCTGTCCTCCCTCTGTTTCCCACAGCTCCGCGAGTCGAGGGCAGATCCCGATTGCTTGTCAGCGGGATTTATGGACCCTCAAATCTCTGAGCAAAATCACTTCCTGTTTTTCCTGTGTTTACCGGACACACAGGCGGGCGGCCACACATTCGATAAAGAGTGATTTATTTTCATTTGCTTATCTGCTTAATTGATGTCCCCCAGGCCTCCCTTGCAGCCATAATTTCATTACACAAACAATTTAGAGAAGTTTGATTAACACAAATGAGAGATCAGGGCCCCCGCAGGTTTACATGGTGCTCCTACACATTCTTTCGTACACATCGACTCTGCGTTTGGCTTGGCCTTTGTAGGGAAGCCATTAATAACCTTCCCCTTACAAAAAAGACAGTAGCAAGGAAAGGACTTAGATTAGTACTCAATTAATTGCAATGAAATGTTTTTTTACTTTGATAATAAACCTGTCTGTATACTCAATATGTCAACCCTGTTCAATCTAACGTGTATTCAACACCTTCCTAGGCTGTATTTCTTTTGAACCAGCCAATATGTGGCTGATTTAAAACCCTTCCCTCCAACTAGATTCTCATTATGGCCATTGAGACGCAACTGTATTGATTGTGTTGTTCAGGATTCACCACGAGCATTGATTTACGGCCCTTCTGAGACGACTGTGTGTAATTAGGCTCATATAGTCAAGGGTTCACCCCACTATCACCTCAGCTGTAGAGCTCCTCATTGATGATTCTGCGCTTTGTTTGCTCAAATGTTATGCGTGGGCTAATGGAGAGGCTTTCATGCTTTCACACAGATACACACACACACAGGCAGGGGCAGAAATGCACATGCAAACACTCACACATGAACACAGAGACAGAGTGGCTGTAGTGGGCAGGACTGTTTCTGACATACACATTTATTACATCATATTATTTTCCACTCAGCCCAGCAGCAGCAGCAGCGGTGAATATTCTCCTTCACCCGCCCTGTTTTTTAGCTCTTATGTTTCTCCCCTCTTTCTTGCATCCAACTGGCTTTTAAAACAGGGTCGGCTCTGGCAAGGCGTAAATCCAGCAGCAGGGATTTCCCCCCTCACCCACAAAGCTTTTACTTCTAGTAATCGAGTGCCAGTGTGCGTTTTCGAGCTCTCCCTGATGAACTCTTGGATGCACATTATAGCAGAAAAAATGGCCCTTTAGAAAGAGTGCTTTCCAGTCTCTGGGTGAAAATACAAAACACACGCATGCAGACAGACCCACACAAGTCGAACTACGTATGTTTGCTGCCCCGCATTTGACACTCTGACAGTACAATTCAGATTTTTCATGAATCAGATCAGATACAAGGGTTACAACTGAGTTCATTGCAAGACTGGAAGTAAAACTGTTAATGAAGCTTTCAAGTAGAATTGTGCAAAAATACCCAGAAACCAACCATTTGCATCAATTAGATAAGATGATAAGTTTCGCTCTTTTATACGAAAGAGGATTATGGCCACAAGAAGAGAAATAAACAATAACTGGAGGGAGATTTTTATAATTTCCATTTTGAGATAAAAGTTGAAACTTCAAGATTAAAGTCGTAATTTTAAAAAGTCGAAATTTCAACAATTCGTGTAGACTCTGATCTCAAAATTTTGACATTATATACAATATTTCGACATTTTTGTAATCTCGAAATTTTTACATTATTCACAACATTTCGACATTTTGTTATCTCGAAATTTTGACTTTATTGACATAATTTCAGTCTTTTGATCTCGAAATTTTTCCTTTATTGACATAATTTAAACATTTTAATCCCAAAATTTTTACTTTAATCTCAAAGTTTTGACTTTAATCTCCTTCCTGTAATTATTTTTTCATATTCACGTGGCCCTAATCCTCTTTCGTACTTTTATGATGTTTAAGGAGGTCCCTGAAATATTCCACATTAGTCAAAGACTAAATTTGTTAGTTGATAGGACCCTGAAATTGTCTGGACTTTGTTAAATATCTGGACCCCGAGCTCATCAGGCTGCTAATTTTAAGATAGTTTATAGATAATCATCTTGTTTTTAGGTCAAGGTCGCTCAAGCGTTAAGTCTTATTAGAGAAGTTTTAACCAAGAGGGAAAAAATCTGCGCAAGTCTCATCACCAAATTCAGTCTAATCTCTTAATAATTACCTGTTAAGACAAAGACCGAAGCCGTTTAATTGACTAAACAAGTGTTTCTTCATGTTTGTTTGAATTTGGGAGATTACAAACTAATCAACTGCTAGCATAGCTCAACACCTGGCTAAAAACCTTAATATGGTTAAATGAATTATTGTGCATCAAAGTGGCGAAACTTAAAAGTCCCAGAAATTGGTCAGCTGGAAATGTTTTTATCTCAGGCAGACAGGCAGCGCTTGCGGAAAGACCGATAACCTGGTTTTTGCAGGTAAAACAAAGAAGAAAAAAAGAGTAAATTTGTATTGAACAGACAAATCTATCAAACTAGAACAAAATCTGAGACAGGTATATCCCTGGATAGTCACAATTGCCTCTTCCTTCACCACTGTTTTCTCTATAGGCTTACTTTGCTATTACAGCTCAGTAATGTAAATGCAAATGTGATTGAAAGTGGTTCATAATGGCCTCTATTACACTGTCATGAATATGAATGGCACTAATATGCAGTCCGTTTTGGTTTGCTTCTTTTCTCTGCAAATGCGTTCTCTTGAAGGATCGTGCACACCCAGCCCCTCCTCGTTATTGTCTTTACACCCTATTTATTTATTTTCTAATTGTGATTCGGACGTCCGTATTTATTCATGCCGCGGCTTCTCTCTGTATGTTAGGCACATCCGTCATTCAAGCCTGGCAGAGTTTGACTCAATAACAGCGCAAATATCCAGCCATTATCTCTGCGCGGAGTACTCCCTCAATGTTAATGTGTTTTTAGGACGATTACATCAATGTGAAATATTGAAAAATATCCCTCTGATTGATAACATGAATCATCAAGCCTGGGTTCCCACCCCCTTCAACACCCCATTTACCATCTCCATGGTAACTCGAAGGGCACTTTGTTCATGCAGTCACCTGCTAGCATATGTGAGGTTGTGCTAGAGGACTGGGTGAGAATGAGAACACTGATGATTAGACATTTACAGGAAACAATGGTGTGGTTTTCGCTGTATAATACTCAGCACAGATACACCACAGTCCAGGTTTAAGAGAAACTAAGTCCTACATTCCTCAAAGAGATAACAGCTGAGCTACAGCTGCTCAAGTCTAAGAGCATTTCAGTCAACTCTGAGGCTTAACTCCGTGAACTCCAGACGTGAAGTAATGAGTTCTCAAATTCACTCGAGTAGAGTTTGGCTGTAGGTTAAATATCTGGCTTAAACCCACTTCTATGAGTCATGGTTCTACCAGGTCACCAAATATAAGTGGTTGAGAGTGGTTTAAAATCAGATGGATACCATCCAACCTCAGTGTCCTGGCCAGGCCTTATCCGTCTCCATGCAGAAGAAGCACTTTTAGGACCTTTTTTGTTGTCTAAAAAGTGAGCTGCATCCAAGTGACTAGCAAAGGGGGGTGGCACAAGTCTCTGCAATCACTGTAAAAGCTAATTTATGCACAACGTTACAGTTATGGATATGGATATGGATGGAGCTCTCTGTCCGTGCTTCATGTTCTTTTCGTCCGTTCTACATGTATCCTTGAAGTTTCCGGATACGGGCCAGACGGAGCAGTACTACCGAAAACCTTGGAAGCAGTGCTGCTGCTGTCACTACCCGATACGCATCTCTAAGAGAAACGAAGAAGACAGTGGCTGGGCTCCACAGTCGCCATGTTTCTTTTTGTTCTTTGTTGTCAGAAACTTTTGACCCTGGCCTGCCCCTGGCGAATGTAATAATTAACATCCATGCCAACATAAAAGACGCATAGAAGTATGCGGGCAGTGACGGAACCATTGTTTGAAACAGACGGAGCCTTTAGTGGAGCTCATCTACTGTGCTTGTAGCTTTTAGGGTAGCGATCACAGGTAGTATTAGAAAGAGCTACACATCTGCATCAAAACTGGACATTGCTGAAAACAGTGGACTCCCCAAAAAGAGACTGCCTCATAGCGGTGAAATTTTAACTCTTGTCAAGTATTCTTGTTATTGTCAGGTTACATGTAGGTTAAAGAAATAATTACCAGTTACAGCCTGAAAACAATGCAAAAAAAAATCCTTTTAATTGCACAACAATTGGGTGCAAGTTTATTTCCTTTTAAATAAAAAAGTTGAGGGCAAGTTTATCACTGTCAATTGAGGATATGAAGACTCAGAGTAAGTTTTAAAATGCAAAGAAAAGAAGCTTAAAGAAGGTGAATCCGACCAAATCTCATGTTTCATTTCATTTTTAAAAAAGACAGAGTAGGTATTGGTGGTTGGTGTCAGTCTTGTTTCAGTTCCCGACTCCGGCCAAGCGTCTTTTTTAGCAGGCAGAAAAAAGAAACCACCACTACACTGTAAGCATTGTCCTAACCTCGACAAAGAGGTTCTGCCCTGTAATTACATTCTATTTCTACAACCATCCATCTCCGCTCACACAGAGCTGACAGGCTAAAACATTAGCACGTTGTCAGCGGCTCCTCAGACGCCACAGCTCTCCGTTACACTTCATATTATCCATCCTGCCTCTCAGATGGGGTTACCTCTCTACACTTAGAGGGAGGAAGAGGAGGTGTTTCCCTGTTGCGCAGCCAGTTTAGCTCCGAGGTGATGGGGCCTCCTGGTTTCTCACTGGGGGTCTGTTGGATTCTGGGTCACAGCCCAGCCCCGGGCAACCGCTGGCTCCACTTAAGCCATTCTGTGTCGTTTTAGCCTCGGTGACACTCTGCAGCGGGTCATTTTTCACCTTTTCTCTCGGCGACAACCTGTTTCCCACCTCGCTGGCACCGCGAACAATCAGCTATAAGCTTGTGCAACTGTTGCTGATAGCACACCTAAACATCACCTGGTCTTTATGCATGCTGCTGCTGCTGCCTCGACAGAAATGAGCCGCACTGAGTTCCATTTTCCCCGGGCTATTTATTTAATGGATAATGCAAGGGACGCAAAATGAAAATCACCCATTCGACCATGTCTTTAACCTCGACTCCACCCTGCCTCCCTCTCCTCGACTGCATTCATTCTCATCTCGGTAAGCATAAATCATTTCGGTAACTTGTTGGCTCATTATTTATTCTCCAGGATGTATAAGAAGAAGCAAAAAATGAATCCTATCAAATATTTAAAGCTCCTAGATGTGAGGAAAGGAAGATAATCTTCACCTCCCTCTGTCTGTGCCTCTTTGGCGCTGCAATCTAGCAGGAAAAAAAGAAAAAACTAGAGCCTGTATGTAATGAGTTTATGTCAAAAAGAAGCGATAAGAGGGAGCATTCATACATGCTAATCTCTGCCCCCTCTCTCTCTCTCTCTCGCTTTCTCCCTGCTACTTCTTCTATGGTGGCAGGAGGTGTGCTCTGCTCTGGCTTGGCACAAAGATGAGGAAAACGATGTGATGGTGCCAGGCGCTTTGTATTCTGAGCCTGGGAGAAGAAGTATGGAGGGAGGGAAGGAGGAAGAGGAGGAGAAGGAGAAGAAGGAGGAGGAGGGGGGTGGAAATGAAATAGGGAAAAGGCGGTAGACAGAGAGGAAGAGAGCATGGAGACAGTGTAATCACTTTTACACTCGCAGATACCGCCGTCCGCCTGACACTTGACTCTTATCCTCAGGCTCCTCTCTGCTCTCCCCTCTGCCTGTATCTCACTGTCAGACTTTCTCCTATGAAATCCACTGGGAGCCTAAATCCACAATAGCTATCTGGCTGTGATTTAGGGCAGGAGGGGTATAATAACAAGCAACTGTGCAAAGCAGAGAAATGACTTTGAATACTAATTTGGAATATTGAAATTTTTAGTTTTGTTAAACTTTCTAAAACTTGACTTTTAGTTCGGAAAGTGCTCTGTGAATTCTTTTAACAGTCACCAAGCAGCATGGTGATCGCTTTTAAATGTTTCATAATTTATGATTTTATTCTGTTACAAATGTCTAACTCAGTTTTTTAGAGATGAACGTTAGTACCAATATGTTCACACTTTTTTTTCCATTGTAAAAAGCACCAAGTCTCCCTATAATAGAACTATATAATACAACTTTTGTGTCAAGAACTTGAAGGAAAACATGAGGGTAAATGACCTCAATAATTTGACACTGAGATAATGTAGTAGGACTTGCCAAAGCAAATGCTTAACATATTAATGAAACTGCAAGGATGACTGGATTTACTGAATGTGAATTTTGACCAAAGTTCCATCTGTTTACATGGAAGAGGCAGGCTTTATGATCCGTACTACAGCTACTTGAATCTAGCGATGGGCATGGCAGTTCTTTTAGAAGTACTGAATCACTAGAATCAGTTCACTAAAAATCACCGAATCTAGCGGGAGAAGCCTGTGACTCCGACCTCCTGAACTGATACACAGCTGAACATTTCGGGATTCAGTTCAATTCAAAGCTTGTAGCAACCGCTACAATGATAGGATGCTACGGGTTTAATGCACTGCTTGTTACATGCTGTGAAAGTTGTTGTGGTGGCAATTTAGCAGTGAAAAAAAGGTAGTTTTGTCCGACAAAAATGATTCCAGAGAGTGTAGTTCAATGCTTGATTCATTCACCAAGTGATTCAGGCGTTGGTACATGTGGTCCCTCGTTCGCCAGCTGCTGGCTTGGCAATGCTGTTTCTCACTTCAGCTCAACTGAATGAATCACTCGAGGAAGTGATTCTGTTCAGTAAGTTCACTTAAAAGATTCAGTTCTTTTGAACGAATCGTTCGCGAACGACACATCACTAGTTGAATCAGAGGTCTCAACAGAAGGGGTGAAGTAGATGAACTGGCTGCTGGGGTGTGTACAGAGTAGGGCTGGGCAATAAACCTAAAATTTACTGATACTGAAATTTACGTCAATAACCGACGTCATTTTGCCCATGTCGGTATATTCGATGTCAAAAAAATAAGAATTAAAAGTTGGTTTTGGTGTAAGTAGGCTATGGTCTCATGTCCCCATCTAGTCCATGACAAAGAGGGAAAGACAGGTGAGGAGCTGGAGGACGGTTCAAAAGTTATAGCGGCTGGAGTGGCGGCTGAAGTAGACAAAGTTAATGTGGGAGGGGGTGAGCAGCTTGTGGAGTAGTTATCGTCCATTTATCATTATAGAGGTGATCTGCTCAATATATATTGATTTAAGGCCATATCGCCCAGCCTTAGGACAGTGCCACAGTGACGCTGCTCAAAATGTGATTGTGTGAAAGGTAGCCATTTTTTAGTTCCAGTTTCTTTTATTTTGAAGCTTTTATTTCGACTACTGCTCAGTGGCTGCTCTGTTAAACCCTTAACTTTGTTATACTGTGTGCATTTTAGTATTTCAAGCAGAATTAACTTTGGCTTTTAGCAGAAACCCGAGCTCCCGGGTTTTTATACGTGCAGCATTTTTGCTATCTTGTTAACGTTACCCTTAGACTCCGAGTGGCCTGAAAACTGGTTAAAGTCAACTGTCAAATATTTGGCTTTTATGATGTTACAGCTATTGGATTTCATATCGAAATGATGTTTAACAGCCTCCCTGCCCCGAGACAAAGCACTGTGAGAAAGCAAAAACCTACGATGGCGGCTGAAACTGATACAGGCGGCCCTCTGCTGTGAGGTAGTCCAGTGTCTGAACGGAGAAAAATACAATGATGTTCTGAGTTCATAGAAAGAATATCTGCCAGCATGTCTACTCCAGCTCCGTTGGCTGAGACACTACCTGACTAATTTTGGCTCCTCTATATGCATTTCGAACAGGACAATGACTCCTTTTCAGAAGTGGTTCTATTTTAGAAAATCCCAGGCGGTTTACAGTCAGAGCTTTTAGAAGTGTGCCAGACGACTCAGACTCAGGCTTTCAACCTGTCAAGTTCTAACTTTAACGGTACAGTGTGATTCAGAGTTCAGTTATATTTATTATAATCAGTGCATTGATATGCTTACTTCTGCTGTGGGTACGAGACAGAGATATTGTTGGAGAATGGAGAACAATCAGAAGACAAGGGTTTTGACTGTTTACATAGTATTGTCTGAATGAGGATGGGTGTATTGTGTGGTTTAATTAATTCTGAGTACACATACACACGTGCATACTTCAGTCAAGATATTCAACACCCTTCTTTCTTGTTTCCTTTTTCTATAAAATCCTCTGACTCTAACTCTGAATGAAATCCCAATATTTCCAATCATTTATAATTTTTACTAAAATTGATAAGATTTAAAATACATAAACAGATGCAGACCACAAATAAGTATCCCCCACACTGGGTGAATCTACTTCATCATCAAGCTCTCCACGCTAACCATGACAACAGTATATGAGACGTCTCAGTGTACCCAGAAGCAGTATTCAGCTTTCAAAGTCAGATGACACACTTGAACTGCAAAGCTGATAAACCCAAAGACAGAGTGTCCTTGTCATGGCGGTCAATGGTGCAACACCCAGTCGCGATCATCCACTACATGTTTTCACCTACTTTCTAGTCCCCTGCCCTAAACTGCTCTAAAAAGTGTTGAAATCCCTCTTTTCTTCAGACAAATTAGTTTTTAAAATAAACATGTAAAAAGAAAAAAGGTTGATATTATATTCTGCCACATCGCCCGCCCCTAGATGCAAAAGTCTAACCATGCAGAAGTGTGGCAAAGTTGAACAGGATGAATTACTGGTTAGATGGAAAGATACACTGCAGATTTCACTTAATATACAGGCTGAACATGTCATAAAACAGAAAGTAAAATGTAAGTGATGTAAGTCCCACAAAATCATTAAAATGCTCACTGACATAGAGCTGCTCAGTGGACTATGATTGTAGTGATTTAGGCCTCGGCTGGAGGTGTGAGGGGAGGATCAACATGTTGTTTAGGGATTTGCCGAGGAAGAAAACCATTTATTTGTGTCCTGGTCTTCCTGCAAATGGCACACAGGAGGACAAACTCCTTTAAATGCTCCTCCTTTTTGGGTAACCATGACACCAACTCACTTATTTTTACAGGACCCCCCCCCGCTGTACGCTTGTGGACCGCTCTGCTGAAACACAAGACATAAAGCAAGTCCTACTGCTACACCTCTACAGCGTAATGGAAAACAGATGCAGGCGTACAGTAAAACTACCCAGGCTGAAGAGTGGCTTTGAATGGCTGAATGTTCATCTAAGTTTGAAATAAGCGGTAATCTATCATTGCCCCCACTGCTTAATGGAGCAAAGCCCGATAAGCTGACAAAATGAATAATACAGGTTTTAACTTCACATGATAACAGACATGCATGTTGCCTCATGATGGATGCTGAACTGTATTGTATTGATGCATTTTCTATCTCCTTCACACTGGTGCTCGGTGAGAACAGTAGCATTTAAGGGATGTTCCCAAGAGTTTAATGCCTTTTTTTTGGAACAAATTAGACGTCTTTTCAAATCTGCTCATGTTCCCTGGCGCCAGTAATGAAAGCTTCAACTGCAATTTTAACATACTGTGTTCATAAAGCCACCTCAAGGAATTCAGATAAGATCATAAAAGAAAGAGCTGAGGGATATTACAGAGCTAGAAAAAAAAAACAGAAATTAATACGAAAATACTTCCACAAAAGACATCATCAGGTCCTTGAAGGGCTTGTTCGTGATTGAACATGCTGGTTATCAGAAGCAGCTTTTAAAACCAGGAACAAAGAATTTGATTTAATGTACAGATTTCAAAGTGGACATGCAATAAGAGCGACTACTGCAGATCTAAATAAATACTGAAGGGTACTAGAATAAGTAAAAGATCATGTATAGTGAGAAGGTAGTGATGCAAAATAGAATCCTGACAGGGTAAGCAGAGCACCGATGTGAAATTAAGGAATAGAGTCTCTATATTTCATCCATTATCCTGCTTATTACCCTGCTAAAGACACAAAATATTCATTGACAGTAGGGCTGTAAAGTCTGAGTCGAGTGGTCATCTTATTGGTCGCTACGTGCAGAGTCAACCAAAATTCTGATTGGTCAAAGCCTATGGTTAATTTCATCAGGTAACAGCCTGTCTCCCTGATTAGTCGAATTTTGGTCGAAAACTTCAGAGTTTTAGTTGACCAAGTATTTCTTTGGTTGATTACAGTGCTAATTGACATAACATTCTGTTGATTTAAAAGTTATTGAATCAGACACTGAAACCCCTTACGACTCTGCACTCAGTCACTGTGTATGGATTGCAGGACAGAATCAACAGTTGTAATCATCTCAAACAGATGCCGGTAACTGTCGTAATTTCCTGACTCAACACCAGCCTGAAACAGACAATTTTTAACTAAATTAGAAAGTTAATAGAAATATTTTGCCACAGTGTCAACAGGCAGAGGTAAAAATGTGACAGACTCCTCTCCAGGGATTAATTTGAAGTTCATGACTCGGTTATATCTCTGTCAGCTACTAATCGGAGAGACTTAAAGGACTTGAGCACTGATGTTGCCAGAATGCATCTATCTTATATATCGTTACAGATTCAGGTAGAAGCTTGGAAGGATTTATAAAAATAAACTAGAGAAATTTGCGGACCAGTCAGAGTGTTTTCTGGTGAGTTCAGTTTCTTTGCTCTCAGCTGCAGATGCCGGTCTAGAAAGTGAAAAGGCAGAGGGGATTGTCTTTCTGCCAGCCCAGCATTTTATGTTCCTAGAAGGATCTTAAACTGGGCTTTACTTATCAGTCGTTGGCCTTTATATTTTTTTAATCACCAGCTTTTCTTTTTTTTTTTTTTTTTTTGGTTTTAATATTCGACTTCCTCCTTTGTGCGGCAACATCCACGGGGGCCCATATGTGGAATCTGTGCCAGCAGAAATGTGGCTCATAACAGATATCTTTCAAGTGGCGGTCCATGTGGCGTATCCAGCAGACAAAAATGTTTATATTGAACGTTTCAGCGGCTTGGAAATCACCATGGTAATGGTCCCAAAGACAAAAGCCCTCGCCTTTTGTCATGGGTAATTATCGCAGAGCAGTCCCCTCAAAGCCTTCCATTTGGCTCCGAACAAATTCACATTTCATTTTGCTCTCATGCATTAGACGAGGGGCTTTTTTCCCTCTTTTTTTAAAGTCAAATTACGCTCAAATGAAGAATTTAAACACCCATTGAATTGGTCTCCATTTGAGGGTAGTGGTTCTGTGTGAATTTCCCTTTTCTCTGATCATTTCTATATTATCAACTATAAAGAAAGGATAAGAAGGACTGTTGGAAATGTTCTAATGAAGCCACCTCCAGGATTAAAGGGAACATTCAAGAAACACAAGACCTTGAAAATGAGCTTTGGTATTAAACCCGAAGTTGGAGTGTCTTATCTGCCACAAGCTGTTGAGACCCTAAAAACTGACATGGCAGAAAGAGAAAATAGCATTGAGCCGTTATTAAAGCTGATTCCTCTGAAGTGTCGTCTCCTCATGCTGTGTTTCAAACTCCATGTAAGTCTGAACAAGTGGGTCAGAGAAATATGAAAAAGTAATGTGAGCGCTGTGTCTCAGAATCCACTCGGATACGTACACTGCCATGCGATGACATGAGATACAATGCAGAGCCACAGTTTGGGTTATATTTAGTGGTCAGCTCTTATAGTAATTTGGTTTAATGGAACATGAATCACCAAATGCAAAATATAGCCTCGTATTATAGCCCCGTCTCCGCTGGCCTCTGTGCAGTCTATGTGGGTTTTCCAGACTCTCTCAGCGATAATAGGAAGCAGTTGCACATCTGAGTTTATTCTGACACAGGCTGTTATTTCGCTAACTCTTCATATTTTACACCTGCCATTAAACTGCATCTCACATGTCGGTCCTCCATGCAGAAATTCAGGTCTTGGTGCACAAAAGCAGCATTGTGATCCCCAGAACGAAACCTCTACAACAACCATAGAGCGGTGAAATATAGATGTTTGTGATATCCAAAACTGGAAAAACACAAGTGGACAGGAACATACGTTAGGGCTGGGAGGTAAACCTGAAAGTTTACAGATGTTAATGTTTAAAAGTATATCAACTGCAAAGACAAAGAAGTAGAGCAGAACGAGGACAGAAATGCCAGTGTGAATATTCCTGGAAAAACCCTGTTAATCCTTTACGATGTAGAAATAGGGCTGGGCGATAAACCGAAAATTTACTGATACTAAAAATTTACTACAATAACCAACGTCATTTTGCCCATATCGGTATAAACAGTGTCAAATAAATAAATAAAAGTTGGTTTTGTATGTGTGTAGGTAGGCTATGGTCTCATGTCCCTTTAAGACACTGTCCTACGTCAGAGACGTGACTCCACCCCATCCAGTCCGTAACAAAGAGGGAAAGACAGGTGAGGAGATGGAGGACGGTTCAAAAGTTGTAGCGACTGAAGTAGACAAAGTTAATGTGGGAGGGGCCGGCAGCTTGTGGAGTAGTTATTGTCCATTTATCATTATCAAGGTGAACTGATCAATATGTCGTGATATTTATTTGAGGCCATATTGCCCAGCCCTAGAATACATACTGCAAATGAAACCACAACACTGCATCTACATGAACAGATTCTATGTTTTATGCAGATTTGTGATGTCCGGATGGTGAAGCTTAGTTACTGTGCTGACTTTGAGTTTTGATGAGTATCTCTCTGAGTCAGAGCTAGCATGCTAACAGGCCAAACTCAAATGGTAAAAATGTTATTTGAAAAGATTGCTCGACTTGAGTGGACTAAACAAGGCTAGGTATTTGAGTATTTTCCTCTCCTCTGTTTACCAGGAGGGAGTCCTTTCTTTTGGCATTTTGTGTCTTCTGTTCTGCCACACTGCTGGCATGTCTACAGGATTGTTAATGTAGGAGTCTTTCATTGAAATGCATTGGCCTTTAATGGACCTACTTGGCTTGTAAGCCAGTTCTGAAAAACCTCTCTGTCTCCACTTGGACTGGTACTGGAGGGGGTTTAAAATGCCGGTTGTAAAAGGGATATTTCCGTCTGTGTCTGTTTTCTTTCTTCCTTCTATTTCTGATCTCTTTCTCTCTCTGTCTCTCATCACTCTCACCCATCTCACCACTCCTCTCCACACCCCTCCCCTCTGTCCTCTCTCTGCTGATATGTAGCCTGAATCCTGAAACGGGCAGACTCTGCTAGTTGATGTGGAAAAGGCTTCAGATGGCTTGAATGCATCCTGCAGCCTCTTTTTTTTCTCTTCTTCTCTGTCCTCCACCACAGTTAGAGCGGCTGAATAATTCACAAGCAAGTTCCCATAAAGATAAAGCTTATTTTTCTTCCCTTACGCAATAAACCGGAGACGCACACTCAGCTTTGAGGGGGAAAAAAGGAGGATTCTGTTAAAAACACTGCTGATAAATTTATAAGAACACACGGCAAAGCTAACTCTATAAATTTTTCACCGAATCAAGCTTTAGTGGTTGTTGTATGGAGGGGAAAAAGAAAAGAAAAACTCACCCCTCGGTGGTAAAGCGAGTGTCCAGCAGGGAGATTTATTTATACTTTCGATTTTGTAAAAAAAATATGTTTTTACTGCAGTGTATGATACAGTTTTATTCTTGTAGCCCATTTATAATCAAGTTCCTCCTGTAGAAATCGCATGAGCGGGGTTATTTTTTCTTTCCAGACATTATTTATGAGCTCTCTTAGGTTTGAGTGTACATGAAAAAATAGAAATTTTCCAAGTGCAGCCAAACATTTCAACTGAGATAAATTGCGGCGGGCCAGCTCTATTTTTCAAACCTTGTGTTCAGGCTAGAAAATTGCCTTTCAATGCTTTCACCAGCTAATAGCCAATTGGACTGAATCCTAAGATGAATGAGAAAAGACAACACAACTTTGTGACGCTTTGTGCCCTTTCCATGCTCTCTTTTTCCTCATTATACTCCTGTGTCGTTGATTAACTTTCCTTTATTGGTTGTCAACCTCAGGGAGGACAGCATCCTTTATCCTCCTCAGACTTTCCAACTTGTCTTTGTCTTGTAACTTCACTTTAAAGTTTTTCACAATTTGTTTTATTAATGAAACTCGGGCTTTGACTTTAAATAGTTTTTCCATTCTCGCTTTAATTTCCTGCCCTCCTCCCTGACAGAGCCGCCGCAAACTTTTACGACCCTCTTCACATCCTTTTTGTCTCATTTGAAACACATTATCATCCATCTGACAATGGATTTCCTGTTATTTTTTTAAAGCTTAAATTTTTCAAATCCACTGTGGCATTGTTATCTTATGTGTCCCCTGTGTCGTGCGGGGTTTCTTTCCTGTCCTGCTCGCTCTTTATCAAAATCTTGTCATTTCCCAGAGGAAAACAGAACACTCTGTCCTCCCATGTTGTTTTCCAAGAATAGACGACCCTCTTATCTTGTAATTGTACGTCTCTCAAAATTGCTTCCTACCCCCCACTGTTCCCATGTACCAGTCTGATTTCACTCTTGACTTCAAGAGTCCACCTTAGATAATTTCCACTTAACTCGGAGTGCAAATTGGTTCAGAAGAAGTTTTTGCTTTATTAGTGAAATTACTGGCTGCTGTGTTTGACTCTTTTATGCTCACTGTTAAATCATAAGGTTGTGGATGTTACACGCTAATCCTCTTTTGAACTTCAGAGAAAACGATGTGAATAAAACCTTACTGCTTTTGGATCTTAACTTAAAGGTTTTTTTATCTCTCCAAGAAATAACTGAACTTTTCTTGGACAGTTACTTTTTTATTGTTCGGTTTGTTTGAGTTGGACATGTATGAAATAAATCGCTGGAAAATGTTTTTATTTTTTCGTACAGTGAAGCCAGAATTTGGTCGGAATTGAAAAATAAGGTGCAGTTCAGGTTTCAAGGTCTTAGCAGGGTCATTTGTAATCCATCAAACCAAAGGAGATCTCAGGTTTTCATTTAAAAGGCAGTTTTAGTTCACTAGTATGTTGGGCTGGGCGATAAATCAAAAATTTACCAATACTGAATTTTACAACAATAACAGAGGTCAATTTGTCAATATCCGGAGCTGCCAAGCGTCACGCTTTGAGTGTGACAGTCACGCAATTTGACCCATTCTCACGCCACACTTGACGTTTCTCACGCTTATTTTTCCCTGTTCAATACTCTGTATTTATTTTTTTCATGATAATAAACTTGGCTTGTCGTAATTTGAATAACTCTGGTTGACTGAGTGATAACCAATCCAAAACCAATCCATCAGTCCTTTGTGCCTAATGCTGTGTTACCTTGGAAGTCAGATGTCGGAGCTTAAAACGATGACACACCCGAGTTCCCAGCGTTTCAGTAACAAAATCGGGAAAAAGCAAAATCGGAGGTGAAATCAAGATGACTACATTTACGAAAGTTATTTTAGCGCTTGCCTTGTCCCGAATAAAAGGACGTCTATTCAACTCTATTCGACTCTAAAAGGAAGGAAACACTCAAACAAGAATCCAAATTTCAGTACAATTATTATTAATGTGGCTAAACTTGGGATCCCAAAATATTCAGGTAAACCCTCTAATCCTTTCAGTGACTAATCCTCCACATCCTCTATCATTTATCTCTGAACTGGAAACCAATAAGTCAGAAATATAATTCTTTGGAACAAACTCCTGAACAACTCAAGATGCTGTATTCTGCTGTGGAAGTTAAGAAATATTTCCACGGTAATGTTAGGTAGCTGTGTTGCAGGGGGTACTTCACAGTGTTTGTGGGGGAAGGGGCTTGAGAGCTGTAAAGTGCAAGTGTTGTAGGCAAAGGTGACACAGTGCATGAACAAAGGTCAGGAGGGTTAATTCAGGAGGACACTCATAAAACGGATGATTATCTCCATCTAGACTGAAGCTCCTGGATTGTAGCTGCTATAGTCAAGCCACTGCAGCGTCTTCCTGCTTCCTGCTGTCACCATGATGGAAAACACCAACACCTAAACGGCACATGCAACTTTAAATTCAACACGAGGAGAATTAAGTTCTCAGCGACCACCTACGAGCTAAGCATGCAGGTGCAGCCGATCAGAGGTGGGTCTGCAGGAAACCACATCAGAAAAGCTGGCAGAGCACCACATGGAGTGAGGGAATCACCACAGACCTGTCGGTGAAACCACATCTAAGAATCTACCAAAAGAGCTCGCTCAGTGGGTGGCAACTGTCAGGATCAATCTGGTTTCTAAATCAGAACAACAGAAAGAAAAACTTCAGATTTTAAAATGGACTTAAACGGTTTTAAATGCAAAATACAAGAATTCTAAACGTGTTTAAAACCTAAAGAACATGACTAAAACAAACTTGTGAAGCAAACTAACAGTATTAGAGCCTCATCCTGGAATACAGTGCAAGATTTTTTTCACTTTATAAACCATTAGTGTTTCCATGGGTACGCCAGAGTATTTTGCAAACACTGTGAAGCGCTAACATCCTTCACCAAAAGTATATCATTGTATTACTTTACGTGCCGTTGGCGATTGCAGCCCGCGGGGCAGGATACGCGCCGTGTTGTTGCTCAAGGTTGGCAGAGCAGCAAAGCCCCCGCGCTCAGGGGAGTGGGCTTTCCCCCCGCCGCACAACAGCCATTACTCTAAATCACCCTCCCTCCTCTCTCTCTCTCACTCTCTCTCTCTCTGACCTCCGCTAGCATCCACTGACCTGGAAAATATCAGGCGAGTCCAAGCCACCAAGTGCGGCGCTGGCCTTTGCTTCGCCTGCAAACAGCAGAAATATTGAGCCAATTACAAGATGATTATCTGGTGCGAGTGGCAGGGGAACACTGTGGGAGTGTAGTTATGTCTGCCAGGGCTCCCTGCTGCAGGAGGAAAAATGAATCAAAGGCTTACGGGGGGAGAAGTGGACGGCTCTCGCTCGCCCACTTGCCTCTGTGTCTTTACAACTCCTGTCAATTGACAGACTTTGGCCGAGATCCAAGCTGCTTTCTGGAAGAATATCACCAGGAGAGGCCCATTCAGAGCTGATTGTTTTTTACTCCTTCCTAATTCATACGTCAAGTTGTCTTTTAATGCGCGCGCTGGATTTATCGTAAATAAGACCTTATGGTTCTGTCAGAGTTTTTTTGGCGTTTAGCGAAGAGGCAGACATGAGTCACTGCCTGTAGATGAGGGCAGAGTAGAGCTGGTTTAGGAAAGCAGTGATGCATCAGGCCTTTCTTCCAAAGTGGTTACTTTATAGACAACCCTACAAAGGACTCATTGAGTGATGTACTGCATGTTAGTGTTTACATTGGATTTGGATTTTTAATAGGGAATAAAGATGCTTGAATGAACACTGGCATCTCTTTTCCTGCTAGTTAGTTCCATATGAGCGGAATGACGTACATTACAACATGTGTTATGTTCTGTCATGTACACAAGCTGTTTTGTTTTGTTCTTAGCTTGTAAGTCATCCTACACTTTTTTTCTTTCTCACCCTGAAGTTCATGCCAAAGCAGTCAATTTGATTTAAAGCGAGGCCGCAGTTCATGCGCGGTGTTTCTTCTTTCAGTCGGAGTCGAAGTCCTCTTTCATGAGTAAAACCTGCTGCCCGTGTTTCATGCATCACTGCGTCTGGGGAGTCATATTTTAACAGCACAGATGAAGACATCAAAGCAGGACGTGGAGCTGCAGTAAATATTAAGAGCTTGGACGTTCTGTCATCTGTTACATCACCTTCCCTGCCAATAAAGTTTCATTTGAAAACGCAGCGTGCTTCTGCTGCAGGGTGGAAAGAAATACCCCAGTGTGGTTCGGTTACAGTAAAAACCAGCGTTCCCTGCCCCTTTTTTGCCAAACAGAAAACCTAAAAGTTGAGCAGTAATGTTCTTCGCTTGTAGTAGATTTATGAGTGTAAGTCGCTTTATTGACTGGTTAATTGACAGAAAGTTAAAACAAGGTCCTTTGGAGACCTACTTAAATTGAAATACTTAAGGTGCCAGTTTGGCTCAGGTAATTCAAATCTTTAGATTCGTGGGCCTACAAGCAAACAAAGTCTTTTTGTACCCAACAAAATCATCCTGCTGTAGGTCACTATTCAACTGATCCAAGTCCATGTTCACATCTTGGCTCCTCAAACAACTTTTAATTTGCTCTCTGTGCAAATTTGATCGCTGTGATTTGTTTTTTGGACTTTTACATGAAAGGGCGGGGATCTGCAATGTGTTCTGAAACATTTTAGTTTGACTAAGGGTCTCAGGAAGCAGCCTGTCATTGGCTTTTTTCCAAAGTAAGATGCCTGTAGACCTTTCCTCACATCGTTATCCACTCTATCTTCTGTTCACTTCTCTGTCTACTATCCTTTCCCCTAAAAAAATAAGCATAAATGCCTTGAAGTCCCACTCCCTGACTTTTTTTTTAACTATTTAAAGTGTTATCAGTGGTCTTAAAGTTGTGATTATAAAGTTTTTAGCCAAAATCGCGTTACCTGTGTCAATTTCAAGGACTTGTCTTCTGCAGAGCTCCAGTAGATCATTAGCAATTCGCCTCTGAGTTGTGGGCGGTGACAGCGCTGCTCTGCACACTCGTCTCCTCATCTCCACGCTAGTTTGCTGCCTGACATTGCCAGTGTAGTAGAAGTGGCAGGTAACATATGAGATATTCAGTTCTCGGACACTAATGTCTTTGGGGACATGATGAAAGTTAATATCATAATTAGCTTTCTTACGCACACGCTTGTTCCATGTAGGAAATCTCACTGTGTCTGAAGGTGCTGTTTGGGTCTGTCAGAGCTTCACAGCTATTTGAATACGGAAATACTCAGAAATGCAATTTCGCAATTTTTTCACCTTTTTTTCATGATATGTCCTGTAGCATCAGAAAAATGCCATATAAACATTTAGACAACAAGAAAAACATGATTTTCATCAGAGTGGGTCTTTAATCAAACTAACCCCCCCTGAACCCAATGGACAAACCTGAAACCATTCTGAATTGACGTAATCCTTTCTACTTCAACTTCCCATTTATGTTTGCTTACATGTCGGACACCATACCACCCTCCGTCCCTCACTGACCCAAACAATCCACCTTCTAAGTGTCTCCACACAAACCCACCACTGATGTGAGTGCCCCACAGAACAAGCCTGACACACACCATCAAATATGGATGCTTCCTTTAGTAGGGGCTCGTTTCTTTTTCATAAAACAATAATGCCCTCTTTTGCACCATGAAGTTGTGGTTGTTCTTCTATAAGGCCTGTCACAGTAGTCTAGTCGTCCCTGATCAGCATGTCGCCACTACAGCAGGAAGTTGCTCAGGAAGACTACCTGCACACCAGCGCCCGGAAACCCCCTATTAATCAATAATTAGTCTCCATGTTCTTTGTTATTGACTTGTCAGCGTGGTGGCCATTGCGGTCCCCAGTGGCGCTGGGTTGTTTCAAAGCGCCATTATACAGCCTGACTCTGGACACTCGGGGCGACGGGGCAGAGCTAATGTGAGAGGAAAGGAGCCTTGTCCATGCTCCTCTTTACACGGCTGTAGGCGAGGAGACACCGAGATGACTGCGAAGGTCAGGTGACGGTCAGAGTTGCGGGCGGATGTCAGGACATCAGTGCACCTGTGTTGCCGCTCTTGCTTTTATCGACTACTTCCTGCATGTCCCCCTTGAGCTGACCTCATGATCTTTACCTCACAAAGAGGATTCCCAGCAAAGACTCAGCAACAAAGCATGGATGTGTTTTGACACTGACCCAGAGGAATCGACTCAAGGCTTTTAGATCCATTTCACATCATACACCGACATCATCCGGCTTCTGTGTTGAGCTCTGGAAGCATCACCCTGAATCTTGCGCTGCCAACTCAACCATCGTTACAACCTTTTCTGAATGTTTGCCCTACACATTTCTTCTCTTATAGGCATCTCTAAACAATCATAATTATTTAACAGTTTCTGGATTCTTCATCAAAAAATGTAAATTTTATTCTCAAGATTTTAGTCCTCAAGATTTGTTTTTTTTCTTTATCTTCCTTCTTCCCCAAAACATCTTTGAGTATTTCCATTGACTCTTTCATTGCCATCATTGAAGATGGAGGTCCAGCCAGGTGAATAAAATCATCAACCAGAAGACACTGAATGAGTGGTTTGGTTCTTTGCTATTTAAACAGTTAGATAAGGTGGTTGGACATACGGCTGGGCGACATGGCCTCAAATCAAAATCACGAAATATTGAGCACTTCACCTTGATAACGATAAATGGACAATAAATACTCCACAGGCCGCTCACCCCCTCCCACATTAAGTTCGTCTACTTCAGCTGCTACAACTTTTGAACCGTCCTCCATCTCCTCACCTGTCTTTCCTTCTTTGTTACGAACTGGATGGGGTGGAGTCATGTCTTTGACGTAGGACTGTGTCTTAAAGGGACATGAGACTATAGCCTCTCTACACACATCCAAAACCAACTTTTATTTATTTATTTATTTGACACTGTTTATATCGACATGGGCAAAATGGCGTTGGTTATTGTAGTAAATGTTGGTGTCAGTAAATTTTCAGTTTATCACACAGCCCTAGTTGGACATTTAGTGCTGAAACTGTAAGCAAAGTTTTAAACTGCATAAACTTTCCAATGGCAGATTTTTTGTTCTACCAGTCTGCAAACATGTTTATTCCAACTATGAAGAAAGACACTTTATCATGATTTTAATGAGATCTTCTGGGCTTTTGGACTCAGCTTCAAGTGAACGTTTGAGATATTGCACTGTTTTTAAAACATTGGAGGTTTCTGCCGTAATCAGGGCCGTAATTTAGTTTCAGTGTCTTTTTGCTGGATGGAAAAGGTGCAAAATTTAGAAAAGGTATAATAATTTGGGTTCGTTGAGGTATCCTAAATGAAATAAAACAAACAGTGTGTCAAGGAGGATGTTGTGTGGGGTAATCATCGTGACAGCAGATATGCGCCCTCTTTGTGTAAACCTCGTCCTTGACAAAGCTCTCAGTGCCCCGCATTTTCATTTCATTCTGTCTAAGTTAAACGGAGCATGATTGTTTACCAGCCACTGTCTGCCAGGCAGAAAAACTGTGCCCATCACATCACAAAAAGTCACTCTGCAGCGGGAAGAAGCTGCACTTTGATCACACATGCTAGTGCTCGCTACCGCTTGAGCGAGCTTTGAAAAAAAAAAAAAAAAAAAAAGACAACAGATTGGAGAGTTGAGCACTCTTCAGTCTCCGGGAGTTTCAGAGGGCCCTCCGTCTTAAAGCGTCTCAGTAGTTCTGTCACGGGCTGCAAAACTGCGTCTACCCTGGGAGCAGCCTGGGCCACTTTGTCAGCGCCAGTCCTCGCTTAAAGCAGCACCAACCAAGCAGATGAATAATTGACGCCTGCATTCTGTACTTTGGTGAATTTTAAAGCTGTATTCTGCAGAGGCTCTAAATGGCAGAGGGAAGGCATGTTAATCATTCATGGGCTGCTTTTACCCGCTTTGCTTAAGGTCACTGTCCTGAAGGCGGCTGGGCAGAAGGAAAGCAAGAGGAGAGGATTGGAGAGAAGAGGTGTGGCATGGCTGAATGGATTAGCTTGTTTCCCATCCTTTTCTGTGAGTTCTTGGTGGAAAGAAGTCCAGCACACAAGACCGGTTTCGCCAACAAATGTTGGTGCCCTGGTTGTGCCTGGTTGATGTTTGTTTGCATTTACATTTGAGGAGAGATTCATGGGAATATGTCATCGCTGGAAAATCATAATTTAATTAGAAGAGACAAAAAACATGGTGGAAGAATCTTATCCTGATTTTCTTCCACCACTCGTTGCAAAAAAGTGAAAGACAAGAGGGTTATCAATTATGCTGAGAGGTTCAAGTATCAATATTTAATAACCAGCACAACCCAAGTATGGGTATAGAGATTGAGAGTCCTTTTTTTTGCACCTTTTAAGGCTAGCGATTGAAGAATACCCCTCTTCAAGTGGACCCAGGGGAGTCACCTTCTCGATTTCACAAACCCTTGGGCTACATTAAGGAACATGTGACAAGGGAGGAAGCATCTGCATACTATCAGCACAAGAACGTGTTTACATCCAGAGCACAGCGCTGCGTAAACACTGCAAATCAACATTTGGTCACACCTCTTGGCAGCCAATTGAGCTGAAAGGGAAGTTACCTGATAGGAGTTAAATAAACATGAAGGTACTTTGTGTTTTTCCTTGATTGATTGGAGTCAGAGTTTGATGATATAGCCGGAGTTTCTCCAGTTGTAGAGTTTATTCTACTGACCCCCAATTTCCACTGCATCCGGAACAGCTACGGAAAGGCCGTATCCGCCGATTGTAACTATTTAAGTTAATGTGTCAATTTCCACCGGCTTCTTTTACAATCTACTGCTTTTATGGTTAGCCTATGTGGCTAAAGACAACTCGTTATCGCACAATTGCATATGAATCTGCGATTCCTGCTGTCCGTAATCCGCCTCACAAATGGATCTGGTAGGAACTGGCATACGGCACAAATTGCCGCCATTCCGGATGCGTTGGAAATCACGGGTTAGATTGATGATGGCCTCACTGAGCTCAAACAAACATCTCACTTCTTTTTCCCTCTGTTTCCTATTTTCTTTCTCTTAGGGATCTGATGCCCAAGACCCTAGAAGGCCAGATCACCATGGAGAAAACCCCCAGCTACTTCGTGACCAAGGAGGCCCCAGCAAGGATCTCCGCCATGTCCCGGGGCACTAAGCTGATCGTGGTGGTGAGGGACCCGGTCACCAGGGCCATCTCGGACTACACCCAGACTCTGTCTAAAAAGCCAGACATTCCCTCTTTTGAAAGCCTCACCTTCAAAAACAGGACTACGGGGCTGATTGACACCTCATGGAGCGCCATCCAGATCGGCATCTACGCCAAGCACCTGGACAACTGGCTGCAGTACTTCCCCATGGACCAGATTCTGTTCGTGAGCGGCGAGCGTCTAATCAGCGACCCGGCCGGAGAGCTGGGCCGCGTGCAGGACTTCCTGGGACTCAAGAGGATCATCACGGACAAACACTTTTACTTTAACCAGACCAAGGGTTTCCCGTGCCTCAAGAAGGCGGAGGGCAGCAGCAAGCCCCACTGCCTGGGCAAAACCAAAGGGCGGACCCACCCGAACATTGACCCCGAGGTGGTGCAGAGGTTAAGAGACTTTTACAGACCCTTCAACATGAAGTTCTACCAGATGACAGGGCGCTTCTTTGGCTGGGATGACTGAATGTGTTTTTGTCTGACACTGACAACAGTCAAAAATACTGCGGCAAAGTACAAGGAGTACTTCAGTGGATAAAATTGAGATTTTAAGAGTTGAGTGTTTTATAGAAAAGTTGTAATATCGCAAGAAAAGAGTTAAATATTTGTAGAAATTTTTGCATTTTAAAAATTAATTTAATTTTTTTCTTTAAAGCTCCTGTGAGGAGATTTTGGGTTGTATTGATTTTGGTTCCTCCACTAAACAAAGCAGAACAGTTTGTCTCTTTGTTGACCATTTCCAACATGCAGCTCGCAAAAAACCCCTCTGATTTAAGTATTTATTTTCTCAAAAGGACTGACACTAATAATACAGAAATAATCAGTCTTCTCTGAGGTTAATCTGGTTTGTTTGGTAGGTCATAAAGAGACCTCAATGATAATTTCAGTATGTGTTAAAAACAGTCAAAAAGTTTTTACTGGAGCTTTAAATCTTGAAAATGTAAAAATGTATTTATTTATGAATTTTAAAATACTTTCGCATCCTATCTACTACACATATGTCTACTCAATCTATGTCTAACCAATTTAACAGAGACTTTATATATTTGTATTTATATATTTATTTAGCCCATTTTGATTGTTTTTAAAGTATCTAGTTATTCTTAAAATACTTATAACCTGATATATTTAGCATTTGATACATTTCTTTAAAAGCTCCCGTGAGGCCATTTTGGTTGTTCAACAAATTGACTGACATTTGTATTAATTATCTCTTCTTGACTTCAGAAAGTGATTAAGATCATCATCATTAAGACTACTTGTTATATAGTTATAGTTAATGTCCAAATAATGACGGCAGGGGTAGGTGTCACTGCTTTTTACATTTTCCACTGCAGAATCTAGAGAAATAAACATAACTGGTAACACTTTACAATAACCATAATTTATAAATGGTTAAAGGTGGTTCATTGTTTAATCATAATTTAAAAACAGCATATAGACCAATTATAAATGGCAGATAGTTTATTAATGTAAGATAATAGTTACTTTACCATTAACAAGCAATGAAATTATGATCAATAGTTTTCATTGATTATTAATTGACTGTTTATTAAAGGTTTATATAGGGTTTAAACACTGGTTGTTAAACATCTAGATTAAAATGTGTGTCAGTAGCACTTTGTAAATGGTTAATATTTGGTTTTTAAACCATCTATAAACATTACTTAGATGGTTATTGTGAAGTTAGGGTTAGGATTTTAAAATTGTAAAATTTACAATATATTAATGGTCTACATGATATTTATAAATGATGATTAAACTTTAATAAACCATCTGCTTACCATTTATAAACGGTCTATTTACCATTTATAAGTTATGGTTTTTGTAAAGTGTTACCACAAGTTTCCTGTGTAAAGGACAAAATCAGCTTTGTCAACAGAGGGCGCCATAACTGACACAAACCAAAAGTTACTTACGGGAGCTTTAAATATTACAGCTCATGACTCAATTCTCAGAATCTGATATTTTTCCTAATGAAGTTTTCCTTCTACTTCAGTAACTCTTCGAGCAATATGTGACAGTAACAGGAGAGAGGCCTGATCCCTCCTCAGATATGCAATATTCCACTGTTACATTTCTCATCATCTCTGCTGCCTCTAATCCACAATCATGGAGATATTTTTACTCTAGGAACAACATGTTGACTTGTTTAGGATTTCTTTGATATCTCCCTGCACTATCTCAAGAAACGGTTATATTTTCCTCTCAGTTTGAAGTCCACGGCTGTGACACAGACATATTGTATGCAGTGCTTCTTTAAGAAGATGTGCGTGTCCGCGGACTTTGATAGAAGCTGAGCTTTTAATGCCATATTTTAAACATACATAGCTGCTTTCAAGTTCTAACTTTTTTTTCTAGCTATAAGACTATAAAAAGATCAAATATATGTATTTTTAAATGTATTTATTCGAGAAGGACACAAGCAGTATGTATGTTTTTTGAATAACTCCGTTTTTTATTATTCCCTCTATGCCTTCAGATGTTTTGTTTGTTTTATATTTAACACTAAAAAACATGTTATCCTCGTTTTAATTTCAGGTCTGTGATTCTAACATGTATGTTCCATGTACAAGCAGGGGGAGCTCGGTGGGTTTGTTATTTCAAGGGTCGTTTCCCCACATTCAGATAATGAAATTACAGACAAAGATAGCACTCACTGTTATTCGAGCAACAACAGCGACTCCGGCAGGGGGAAAAGACCTCGACCGAGCCCTCCCAAACTGAGTCAAATTTCCTCAACATGCCTCCTTGTGAATTAAATACACTTGATGTCACTGGCCTTCCTCGCCTGGAGGCATTTGTGCGAGTGTGTCTGTGTGTGTCTGCGAGTGTGGAAGCCTCTCCGAACCTGGAGAGCATGGGAACGACGAGCGGGTTGTGTTCCTCATTTGTGTCTTTTGTATCATGAGCCGCCCTCCTAAAGCAGATGTGCCTCGAAAAAACACAAAATCTACAGTGTGTTTCAAAAACAAAAAAAAGAGCCGAATATACTGTCGATCGTGTTGGTTGGGGGAAGGTGTTTCCAATCTTGTCTCGCTGTTTTGACTGTTTTCTTAAAAGTTGTTGGGATTTTTAAGGCACTCCTTGAATAAAAGATGTTATATGTAAATATTTTATCCAAACTAGCCTTCGTTTGTTTGTTTCTGTGAGTCATCACAATGCTTCTACCTTAAAAAAAAAGGTACACATCCCGAGTGTTAGGAAACAACAACATTAAGAGGAAAACACTGGCGTTATTAAACTCCTTTTTACTCATTCAGCTTCCTGCAGAATCATAACAGCACTCCCATACTCCCATGCTATCTCCACTGTTACACCTTTCACATATTGTCTCTGCGTAGCTCTGCCCAGCCTCAAAGGGGGGCAGCGAGCCAAAGGAGGTATTTAGGATTTTAAAAGACGCATGCAATCTGGCAGCCTTTTTCTGGGGCTTTTGGCAGCTTCTGGGCAGCGACAACAAGAACAGGTTCCAGCTTTTTAGGTGACAATGTCGGAGAAGTTAAGGTAGAACTTAGTTGACTGGCTTTTAGAAGTCAGTTACTTCAATCTAAGATGAAGTAGGAAGAAAGAGATATTTATGCACACTGAAATAAATGTATCTTCATAATCTAACAGTTCAGTCGACTGGAATTTGTTTTTGCTGAATTGCACAGTAGGAAGCACTGGTTGCAACCAAGCAGCTTAGGGCTGGGCAATATGGCCTCAAATCAATATCACGATATATTGAGCAGTTCACCTTAATAACGATAACAACTCCACAAACCCGTCCCACATTAACTTCGTCTACTTCAGCTGCTACAACTTTTGAACCGTCCTCCATCTCCTCACCTGTCTTTTCCTCTTTGTTATGGACTGGATGGGGTGGAGTCTCGTCTCTGAGGTAGGACAGAGTCTTAAAGGGACATGAGACCATAGCCTACCTACACACATCCAAAACCAACTTTTAATTATTTATTTTTTTTACACCAAATATATTGACATGGGCAAAATGACGTTGGTTATTCTCGTAAATTTGGGTATTGGTAAATTTTGGGTTTGTTGTCCGGCCCTAGATGATTGGCTTTTAAAAGTCAGTTACTTCAGTCTAAGATAAAGTAGGAAGAAAGAAATATTTATGCACACTGTAAAGTAATTGTTCATATTCTAACAGTTCAGTCAGCTGGATTAGGGCTGGGTGATATGGCCTTAAATCAATATCACGATATATTGAGCAGTTGGACGATTACTACTCTACAAGCTGCTCACCCCCTCCGACATTAACTTTGTCTAGTTGACATGGTCAAAATGACGTTGGTTATTGTCGTAAATTTCGGTATTGGTAAATTTTTGGTTTATCACCCAGTCCTACATAATAGTGAACTAAAACTACCTTTTAAATGTCCTAAAACCTGAAATCTCCTTTGGTTTGATGGATTGTAAATGATTTCGGTATTGGTAAATGTTTGGTTCATCACCCAGCCCTAAATAACATCCAGTGTTGTTCACTTGATCCAAAGGGAGTTTCTGTAACTGTAGGCCTGAAATGCTGGTCAAATTCTGTCAGCAGTAACACCTTTTCTCTGACTTTTCTTCTTCTGTCTTTTGTTCTGTTTACAGTAAATCAATCTCAGTTTGTGCCTGAAGGGACGAACCTCCACACTGTTATTATATTTTATTCTGTATTTCTTCCTCCTCTCCTTCATCTCCCTCTCTTCACTCCTCCATGTCACCTCTGTGTTTTTCTTTGCCAGAGGAATCTCCCGGCGTTTTCCTCCCGCCTGCAGCCCGCTGACTGATTTGAGGAATCGCTCTGACAGGGACTAAGCAGATGAACCTCGATGAGGGGAGGAAAACCTGTTGAAACTCTCGGACTCCCTCATGCCGAGCCGATGTTGTGACTTTAACGACCCGCGCAGGGGATGACGGCGAGCAGCGGCTGATGTCCATTTGTTGACTCGTTCAGTTTGCTTGTTTTTCTTCTCTGAGAGGGTCGGCGGGGCCTCGTCAGCGCCGGTTTCCTCGCAGTGATAAACAGAGACGGTTTTTCATCCTCCTGCTTGATTCTCTGAAGAGTAGCTAAGTTTGAGGGGAAATGGGACGGCAACATCTGCTGCAGGACCGTGGACAGACCACCCCTGTCAGAGAAAATTCAGCTCAATATCAACAGCGAGTCTGTCTCTTGAAAAACAGCTGACCGCATGTTTTTTTCTGCTTTTTTGCTTTTTTTTCTACTTTTGCAATCCTCTTTTCATTCATCCTCTATTTCCCGGTTGAAGTCATTGCTTCAATGTGCCGTTTTATAGACTCAGGAGCACCTGCGTGTAGTCACCTGCGCACAATTATCTCGCTCTAAATTAAACTAAGCTCCAAAAAACCTCCACTCATCTAGACCTCCATTTCCTTACACGCAACTCTGAGCCTGTTTTCGCACACGCGGACGTCGCAGAAGCGCGGCGAGGGATGGGTGGGCTGCACGATAACAAC